GAGCAGGGATACAATCAGTCATCGCAGTCGTAGCTCCATAGTCAAAAGCAACATTTTGTGTCTGCTGGTTTGTTTACTTGCAAGAGTTCCATTGGCATTTTCACGCTTGTGAATTTTGACCAGTCAAAAAGCAGTTTAGGAAATATGTTCAACAACATGTGGCCAATAAGTGATGTGGATTTTGTCAGATGACTGCATTTTGGTTCTTTTCAACTGGTTCAGACCAAAGCAATCAGTGTTGTGTGAAAACGACCCAAAGACGGCAGAAAATGCTACAATCATTTATTACTCTTGGTCCGGACCAAATAAAGTGAACTACAGATGTGAAAGCATCCTTAGATCTATCTTTGATAATGTGATGTCTAGTATTGATTGTTTATGAATTGACTGAATAATTGGCATAATACATATTTACCTGACAATTAAATTATGTTTGAACGCATTCTGCTTACTCTGTAATTATTCATTTTAGTGGATCACACTGTATCTTTGTTTCCACACTTTCTGCGTCAGGACAGTAGATGGACTAAAGTCCCATTGAGATGGAGCATCGGGCACACTTACTGTATTTTAGAGCTACGACTGACTCTTGATATTGATTTAAGTGTACTTAGGTGGAAAAGGAGTTATTTTCATCTAGGGCAACAAGGTGTTGCATGACTAACCTAGATAGGGTGCCTGACCTTTGTTTAAATGTAATATTATTCTAAATTAACTGTATACATAACAAACAATGAGCTTGGCTAAACCAAGATTATTATAAAGAACAATAGTCAGTTATATTTATAAAAATGGGCATGACCTCTGATTAAAAAAATATTGCCTTTAACTCAAGGTTGTACATCTAATGGGACTAATGAAAAATACTTTAGTATGAGCAAGCATAGAAGCGGACCTATAAAAGTATTAGTCCATTACCTCTATATAATAATCAAGACTGACGAGAGTTTGACCGTGAGAAATGTTTTTGACACTTGATCGGAAAAGAAATGTAATAGCTACCAGTAAAAACAAAATATTCAAACATTCATCTAAATAAATATATTGATATAATCTTAATGTTTTATGATTGGAGTCAAATAAAACGAAAGATAAATATATTAATATACTAAACCATCTTATATTCAAATTGGAGTCAGATGTGAATTAAGGTTAAACTGAAACAACATTGTGCACTGGAAAGGCTGAACATGCAGTGAACCTTTATCCACTAGTGTACATCTTCATTGGGCCAACTGGGTGGACCTTACACTATTTTTATCTTGAATAACAATAACTATACTGTAAACTGTACTACACTGTAACTGTCATCGGTTTTATGTTTAATTATTAATTTGATTTATGCAATTTGGCATAATTAGGCAAATTGTCATGGAGATTAATGAAAATTTGTATTAAACCAGTGTTCTGCTAACTATACAATACAATATTTTCTATAGTACAGTAAAAGGACTTCACAGTTAATGTAGAAATATTTTACTCAAAGCAAAGAGCAATAAAGTAGCAATAGATAGAGTAGTATTATTAACAATGATATTAAATATCCTAAATATAAAAGTACAGTGAAAGCACAATAATTAAAACAGAGCAATGACTGCACAATTTCTGTAATGAGGCAGTGTCAGGCCAATAGTTGTCAGTGTGCAGTGACTACACTTTAATTAGGAAGTATTTTTACTCTAGGTAACAGAGCAGATAAAATACATTAGTTGCATTAGTAGTGTTTAACACAATTGATTTTTAAAAAGCACTGTTTACATTTACATGAAAGAGTTGCTTATTATTTATTGCTTATGCTTAGCTTCTCTATAATATATGGATTACAAATATTTGAAGGCTGGTTGCATGCAACCGAAACTCCTAATTTTTATTTTGCGAATTTTCTTAACTGCAATGTTAAGTCGTAGTTTTAAATAGTAAAAGAAAGGAAGACGTTTGGCAAAATTTAGCGAAACTGGTTATAAAAACAAAAATATCTCTAAATAAAATGTCCTAAATCAAAATTAATGTATATATTTACCCGGTTTAACTTTACAACTGCATATCAGCATGACTTTAATATTTTATAAAAAATAAAAAAAATTCTCAATACAGAACTATATATACTTTTAATTAGAAACAAAATGCTGGAGTAAGTGGAAAATGTGCTTCCTTAATGTGTGATTCATTCAAAATCAGTAGTCCTTAAAGTACAAATGAAACTAAACTTATCATTTTCTTAACTCACGTTACCAGTTTTGTGGCGAACAATTCATCTGACATGTGGATGTCATAAAAAAAAAAAATGTTTGCCCTAGTAATTTAAAATTAAAAATCTGAAAATTCACTTTGTTTTTAAGTTAAATACTCAGATTATTTTTGATTTTGAGATATTGGGCGGGGTTACATGCTTAAACATGCCCCTCAAACTGTCTGTTTTGACGACAAACAGAAATGGTAAAGATGAGGTGTCTGTTAATTTGTCTCTTCTACTAGGTAAAACCCTTTTCCAGATCTTTCTGATTAAAATGCCCATGCCTGCATCCAATCATCTAAAAAAACAAGCCACGCCCACCGTTTACTCATTTAATATTCCATTTCTCTAGGAACTGCGTCACAATATGAAGAAAAGAAAAAGCAAAAAAATGCTTTTTTATTTGGACTTTAAAGTTTTACCAATTTATTATTCACTTTCCAAACTATCACTAGAATACCTTTGGTACTGTTATGATTAATGTAAGCTAGTGCTGAAGATCTTTGCCCGTACCTGACGGTGGGGTGGGTTCAGGCTTAATTTCTATCATTTTAGACTGGGTCGGGCAGAGCTTGGGCTTGAGCAGTGAATGAACAGTCATGTGATGCATTTCGATTAGCGTGAGAAAGTAATCTAATAGTTTGTTACAACATTAAAACCCATCTTTGCAAAAGTGAAACAAATGATGATGGAGACTGTAAAGAGAGTGAATTTTGACTGTGATCTGGCCAGCCGCCAGTTGAAAGAGCCACCAAAACGAACAGTCATTCCATCCACCAAGGTATTTCAGCGGTCGCTCATAGACCTACTCTGCGTATTATGGTAGAGCGCTAAACAGCAATGTACAGCAAGCTGACAGGGAAGATGACAAGGTCACTTGCTACAATGAAACTGCTATCATGGAAAATTAAATGGATATTTTTGGCTGGTGAATGATGTACAAACAATTCTACCCAAAACAGGTTAAATTGGCTAGAACAGTATACATCCTGGCCAGTAACAGTAGCTGTGAAAGGGTGTTCAGCGCTGCTCAGTATGCGCAGGACTGCGCTAAAGCCATTTACAGCGGATTCATTAATTTTCAGCCACAAAAACACGTAGCCTAATCTTGGTGAGTAACTCATTTTCAAATTATAGCTAAATATTAATTAAACCATAAAACCATAATGTAGACAGAGTAGGCCTATATAGGCTAATGTTGGCATTATTCTTTTATTATTTAGCATAACTGTCACCTTAATGCCAGATTGTGAAGAGAAGTGCCAAAACAAATCCCGCAGAGCCTTTATCCTAATTTTGTTATTGCCAAATACCTGTCATAATTTAGAAGTTATTTTAATCTAATTTGTTAAGAAATACTTATTTTCATTGGTGTGTTGGCCAATTTAAAGGTGTACCTAGGCCTATTTAGAGTGCTCAGAAGTTACAATGTTACAGAAGACTTATTTTTATTTCTTTGTTCCAACTTCCGAGAGGCCTATAGCCTACGTTTGTTATGAATAAATTATGTTAAAACACATATAAATGTCTCATTCATGAAAAAAGGCAAAATAGATGTGTGCATGTGCACATGTGAATTATGTCGGGCTATAAACAGGTTCGGGCTTTTAAAAAGCTGTCAAACAAAATGTACAGTTGAATTATTAGCCCCCCTGAATTATTCGCCCCCCTGTTTATTTCTTCCCCATTTTTCTTTTTAACGGAGAGATTTATCACATTTCTAAATATAATAGTTTTAAAACTCATTTTTAATAACTGATTTATTTTATTTTTGCCATGATGACAGTAAATAATATTTGACTAAATATTTTTCAAGACACTTCTATACAGCTTAAAGTGACATTTAAAGGCTTAGCTAGGTGAATTAGGTTAACTAGGCAGGTTAGGGTAATTAGGCAAGTTATTGTATAACGGTGGTTTGTTTGTAGACTAGTGAAAAAAAAAATTGCTTAAGGAGGCTAATAATATTGACCTTTATGTGGTTCTTAAAAATTGAAAACTGCTTTTATTCTAGTCAAAATAAAACAAACAAGACTTACTCCAGAAGAAAAAAGTGTTATCAAATAAACTATGAAAATTTTCTGAATCTGTTAAACATCATTTGGGATATATTTAAAAAGAAAAAAATTCCAACGGGGGCTAATAATTCTGACTTAAACTGTACTTGTCAGACTCGGGCCGAATTCCGTCCCTATCTGGCCTAACTTTTATGACCCGATTACAGCTCTAATCTAAACTAAGCAGTAAAAGATTTAATTGTTTCAGTACAGATTCAGTGAATAAATATTTCCATAAATAAGTATGGAATGGATATTTTGTAGTTTAATGGATAGTGAATGGATCTGGAAGCATGCCTGTGGTTTCTCGGTTTGTTTCAACCATTGCTGAATAATGGGCTTTGTGAATTGGCAAATGTCAATTCTCCTTAGGAGATGATTTGGGGCCAATTGTTTGTGCTAGTACTCCAAAATTATTGTATTATATTATATTATATTTTATTATATTATATTATATTATATTATATTATATTATATTATATTATATTATATTATATTATATTATATTATATTATATTATATTATATTATATTATATTATTGACTCATTCATTCATCTTCTTTTCAGCTTTTTCCCTTATTAATCAGGGGTCGCCACAGTGAAATTAACTGCCAATTTATCCAGCATATGTTTTATGCAGCGGATGCATATAACGGTATGTTATATATTAACATCTACCCAATTTTGTGTGTGTGTGTGTGTGTGTGTAGGCATTTGAGGACACAGTCTCTGGAATGGTTCTACAATAATGTGAAGAGTCGGTTTAAGAGATTTGGAAGTGCCAAAGTGTTGAAGACCCTCTACAGGAAACACATCATCGAAAGAGGAGCGTTATCTGAGTTACCAGGTACCAAGTACACACATACAACATGCAGTGTGTTATATGCTTTATCTTAGTGACACCATTATTATTATCCTCCACCACAGAATAAATAAATGTTTGAAAATGGGATCCACAGCAGCCTAGAATTAGAAGCTTAGGTTTGACCATATCATCACTTTAGAATTATAAGGTTTTATCTGACATTTTTTTCAAAGTTGAGTTCTTCATATATTCTTTTTAAATGACTGCTTATTTACATTATGTGATGTTTTTTTTTTTTTTTTTTTTATTAGTGAACCTCTATAAGGTTCGTTTTGTGAGCCAATCAGCATTTCGAATGCAACCACAAGAACCAATCAGGATTATTTGTCATTTTACCGGACTACTTCATTGTTAAAAAAAAATGGAAAGTATTAAATATTAAATATTTTTATTTGTGTATATATAATCATTGAAACAGTTTTCATTGTTTATTATACTTTGCTAAACAATGCATTTGCTCATTGTCTGTTCTCTTTAATTTTTTTAATTTGACATTAAGCCTTTAAGGGCAAATATTTAGTTTAATTAATCTGGTCATAATTACAACAATAAATATGATCATTTTTATTACGATAAAATATAAAATTAACATCTGCACTGAACAAAAATATTTAGTGCAGCCTTGTATGCCTAATTAGAACAATATATTTGTTTTAAATATTCATCCTAATACATTAAATAAATGTTATAGAAAGCAGAAAAAAATACTTTCTCAAACAATTTCTTTAGGCATTTTTTTTATTTAAATTTGTATTATTTTGTTTTTTTATTTCAATTTAAATGAATAATTTTTAGAATTAGAAGCTTCTATCTGCATTTTCCCTGTTATTTTTACCTCAATTTGCAAATTTAGGGTCTCTTACATGTTAATGGATGAAAGAGAACTGTTACACACAGGTAATTGTTTGCTGTATGGAATGCAAAAGCTTTGAAGCTCAATATTTCAAAACCATTTCGAACGCTGATAGAACCTCATAATTCCAAGGCGATGACATTTGGAATGGTTGTGAATATTAATGAAGTTTGTCAGTACCTGTTTTTTTTCTCACTCACACACACACACACACACACACACACACACACACACACACACACACACACACACACACACACACACACACACCGTACTCTGAAATATACATGTGCAAAATAATCATACTTCATTAGTCAAAAAATATTTGATCAAATTGAAATGATGCCGTGTTGAATATTTTTAACTGAAGTGGTAGAGAGGTTTATTATATCTAAAGTAGTGAGTGAGTTGTGTTGTGGATGCAATATGGGATGCATTACTATTATACTCAACAAAAATGACAGACAAGAGATTTAGTTGTTTACTGTAGATTGTTGTATAGTGCTGTATAATGTTGTATTTTGAAAATTATAAAAACACAGGCAAAAGTTATTATCAGTTTCTGCATAAACAGATTGTTTTTGATGTTGGCATCCTTTCACTCAAGAAAAATCATAGTAAGAGCTAAGTGATATGACACGGTGCATGCATGTGTGTTAACTACTTATACTCACAGTTTAGATGTGCTTGTTACATTTTAACAAAATATACATTTAAACAAACCAAATGCCTATTTGGGTTGGCATTGAATTTATTGATAATCCATATATCCTGCATTTTTGTGTTCTTATTTGCTGTTAACAGATCTGTATAAATAAATGTGTTTGGAGTTTTGCAAAGATTTAGGTAAAGGGATTTTTTTTTTTTTTTTTTTTTTGCAGTCTATGTTGCTTTCATATGATGTTTAGGGTTTAGACACATCCAGATTCAGTGATAGCACAGTAAGCATTTAGATAAGCAAGAGCTGTGTTAATGCTGAAGTAGAAGAGATGCTGGGGTGTTAGCATCACTACATTGTATTTGGGTTATAACAAGAGAATACCTGACCTACACTGTAGTATTAGACAGTGTATGTCAGAGTAGTTACTATTTTAGTAGCCACTAAAACCATTTCATGTGTAGCGTAGTGAAAAATCAAATAATCCCCTTACCATCAGTTTATTCCCACATATACCTTTCATCTCTCTCTATCTCTCGCTGTCAGACAAAATAGGATTACTGCTTCTAGGCTTTCATTTAAAATGAGAAATACGGATTATCCAACATGAGTCAGTGAGCGTAGCATACCAGTCCACTAAATGTGCATGTATGTGAATAGTGACACAAGGAATGAGTAACTTCCTCCTCCTCATAGATGATCGTTTTATAGTTTCATTTGCACTAATGTTTATTTGTGTGTGCTTGCATATCATGAGGATTCATATCATTTGCAAACACGTAAGTGATCTCACAGGAGGTCCAACTGTTCAGGCCAACTGGCTGCAACTGCTTAAGGTCTCCTATTTGACCCTTTTGACAAGATGTAAGATATTCCTTTGGTGTCACCAGAATGTGTCTGTAAAGTGTCAGCTCAAAATGGCCATCAGATTAGTTGTACAATGCTGAATATGCCCATTTTGGGGGCTATTGTAGCTTTTTTTGGTAGCCTGTACCTTTAAATGAAAAAGTTCTCCCCAAACGCCATTCCCACATGTGTGTCTGTCACTCATTCATTATGTCAGATAAATATCAGTCAGTGACAGAGACAGACACAGATGGAGCAGAGTTCCAGCTCATTAGTCAAAAATACCAAGTAAGATTATTTGATGTATTTGTGCTGGAGTTTATTCAAGCCTTTTGTTAACGTTTAACTGACACAAACATGCTCTTTTTTAAAAACTTTTTAAACTTGTAAAACTCCTTGAGGTGCAGATGATCGCAGATAACTGGAAAGTCTTTTAAACCCATTTTATTTGCAATTCCTGTTCCTTGGACATGTTTGTATGTGTAACTACGTAGCCATGTTAGTATGCACCTGTCAATCATTTCAGTGGGTGAGGAAAACCACACTTCTACGTCACTTTGGGGTGGCCCTCAAAATCACTGAGATTTGGATCATATTTTAACGTCAGGTCATTTTAAAAATAGAGACTTGTGTTAATATCACTCCAATATACCAGTAGACACACTACACACAGTTCTGTCCAAACAGCTTCTGAAAGTTGATTTTACATTATAGGTGCTCTTCAAATGGGCTGTGTCTGTAACACCATATGCTGGTAGATGTTTCTTTATGTTCCTAAAAAGGATCAGTCAGTAAAATGTTTTGATTGATCGACATATTTTTAAAGTTATATATTTATATTATCCACACCTTACTGTTTACACAGCATTTTGTTCTCATATCTATGCTGAATTATCAAAGATACACAGTAGATAAGTGTGCCATTGTTGAGAACCGTGATTTAGGATTTTTGACCATTTCAAAATACATTAAATTGTTGTGCCTGTTAAACTTTAAGTCAGAATGAAATCCAAATGCACTGTTCTTGTTTATTTATTTATTTATCTATTTATTTATTTATAACAGTGTCTTGTATTTGCTCTGCCTTTATCTAGCAATCAAAATTTTGTTTTGTTTGTAATAATCTTTTAACAGTCCAATCAGTTCCCAAAAGATGAATTCATGCACCGCCCTACATTTTTTAAAGTTTGTACAGTATGTTTTCCAAGTGTATGTATATCATGACAGAAGTAAAAATGGCTATTATAACTTCTGTTTCATGGTGACTTTAAAGTCCCTGTGAAATAAAAATTGAAGTTTTTGTTTTTGGTCTTAGTATCAATATGCTAGTGTTAAGGTTATCTATTAACTAGTGCAGTGGTTCTTAAACTTTTTTCATCAAGTACCACCTCAGAAAAAAATTGTCTCTCCAAGTACAACCAAAATGAGTAGCATTGAAATACATTAGCGTAGTAGGCCCAGTAAAGCAGCTACAGCTCTGCACAGTTAAAAAAAACTTGACAGATTACCTCAGAAATAAAGGCTATATGTCATATATGGCATATTATATACATCATTTTTGATACATTTTGAAATATATGTAGCATGTACATGACATATTTCATTCCTCTGTGTACCACTGGAAGGTTGTCCGCGTACCACTAGTATTACACATACCACAGTTTGAGAACCACTGAACTAGTGTGTTCCAAAACAGACAATAGCTATATTTCAATGTAGATATAAACATTTAAAACTTTATGTTTAGGATGTCAAACAAATTATGTGGCATCATCTCATAAATAATTTCTCATCAAATATTTTGACTAATCAAATGCTTTCTAGTATTTGATACATCCTCCTTTAAGATGCTATGGTTAATGATGAAATTAGTCTTTTTTCACAAAGATCATTCAAACCAAGGGTTTGCCTAAAATCTAGCAAACATAAGAAAATAATGAATGAAAGCCAAACAGTGTTGATCTGAGCTTTTTTGTTGTTTTGAAATGAGCTGTGCATAGCACTTCTCTACAGCAATCCCCAAGGGGTGATAAAATATTGCACAGAATAAAAACAGAAGCAACTACAATATTGATCATAACTGTGCAGAAATTGTGGTAATAGCACTGCGATTCTGTGCCTTTGGTTTGTATAGTTGGCAGAAGTTGGCCCTTGCTATCCACGTTTCCACCATAGTGACTAAAGCACTGTCTCTTCCGGGCCTGATCGGGCCAAAGCGGGGCTTCCTCGGACCAGCGGCCAGCCTTTTTTGGCCCGCCGAATACCATGGGCCAAAGACGGCCAGCTGGGGCTTCGGGGCAGAGTGAAAGCAGAGAGACTTTGCCCGAGTCTGGTACACTGAAAACCCTAATGAGTTGACAACTAAATTAATCGAGTAAACTCGTTGCCTCAATTTAATTGAGTAATGGAGTCTCCCAATACTTGCATATTTAAGTTTATTTAACTTATTTAATGGTTTTGTAGACTATACTTAAATTGTTCAGTTCACCAATCTTAGTACTTTATTATATAATTTAAGTATAGTCTAAAAAAACGGCAAATTAAATGTAAGTTTAAATGTAAAATTAATGCAAGTTTTGGAAGACTCTTTCACTCAATTGAATTAAGGCAACGAGTTAACTCAATTAATTTTGTTCAGTCAACTTATTACAGTTTTCTTTTTTTTGTTTTTGTTATCCATGGAATAATGGAAATAAAAATGTTGTTCTAATAGAACTACAGGGCTCTAGAGGGCGCTAGTCAGACACCTGGAATGTATAATAGGTGAGTGAAGGAGAGATTCAGTGTGGTAGGGGAAAGCATGGGCTGTTTCTCAATACCAAGTACGCAAAGTTCGGACTTGCGTCCTTGGAAGTTCAGACTTGCCAAGTTCAGACTCCCGAGGAGTCGGGTACTTCTTCAAATGGAACAGCAGTGTACTTTATAATGTCACTTACCTCACCATTCATACGTTTCACTGTACATTAACAATAAAATTATTTAATTAATATTATAAATCTACATTTTTGATTTAAGAAAATGTACACATATATTCGTATAAATGTGAATTAAAATGTGTTATTATACACAGACACGTGTCTTTGATTATCAGATTTATTAAACTACAATGGTAATTATACACACAATAAGAAATAAAGACAGACAAGATAAGAAATAAAATTAGGTCAAACAATTCGGTAAACAAAGACAAACAACGGACAACACGATAACATAATTAAAGACAATTATAAAAGGTAACAAAATATTCCTCCTCCGCCATTAGCACTTGCTGGTTAATCTGCAATGCATTCTGGGATGCCTGAGCTTCGCAAGTTTTCACAAGTCACCTCTTGATGCATCCTTGGCCAAAGGGGCAGAGCAAGTACACATCCGGGAATTTCATCTGTACTTGGAAAGATGTGAACTTTAGAATTGGAACAGTACTTTGGCGACGGTTGATGATGTTTCACGAGGACACAAGAACTCAACTACAGACAAGAACGCATATTGAGAAACAGCCATGGTTCCTTGGAGATACTTCAAACTATTTGTATTGTGAAGTCCTAGTTGGGAAACCTAGCATTTTAAGCTCAGCCTAAGGACTAAGGACTTCCTTATTGTCCAGATAACTGAATGTTTAGAAAATGTATTGCTTTCTGAATTAGATTTGATGTTTTGGATACTATCATTATGAAGTTTAATTCCTCAATTATCTTTCAATTATAAGTCGTTAAATCAACGCAAAAATAGATCAACATATTTCAACGCAGTCAATGTTGTTTTACCCCGAATTAAAGAATAATGTACTGTGTAATGTAATGTAAAGTTAAGAAACCCCCAATATTTAAAAAATTTCTCTTAAAACAAAACAAAAATGGCTTAGCTGTTGGATGATGGTCTTTTCTTCTGCGCATGCCCACGCTCCATTTCAGCAGTGTCTTGCAACAGTTTGTGCCCATCATGAGGCGTTTTGCCTTGAAGCATTCAATGGGAAAAGATGTTGTTGCTTGTCTATATTTTTTACAGTCATTGGTCACAGGTGATCAAAATTATGTAAACAAGGACACACAAGGAAGAACCAAAGCAGGGACCTCTAGGGGAATGGAAACAAAGTGCAAGATGGTAACAGCTAAGGCTATATGGCCCAGATAGAAACTGCATAGTTCTTTTTGTTCTGTAGGCCAGACTCATCTCTCCATTACCCTGCTGGTGTAGGTGTTTGAATCTTTACTCATCATTGGAGTAAACTTTTTGTAATTGAACTTTCATTGTTGAAGAGCCTTGGTCTAGTTTTGCCAATATGGAGATGGACTTAAAGCTGGTTTTGTGTTTAGACAAGTGCGTAGGTACTATAGAGGAATTACCAACCTATGTCACACATGATGTCACACGGGCTCCCAGATGCAAAAAGAGACCGGTTGCAATAGCAAACATGTCGTGTTATGCGATATGATGTAAAAATCGAAAATCCAAAAATGTAAAACTTAACTTTTACCGTACACCAAACTGCAGTTCTCGTTTTATATCAGGTAAGGTCACACTATGCTGAATCATACACATTACTTGTTTTTGATTACAGCAGTGATTTTCAGCAAAATCAGTTAAATATGGTTCATTAAACTGCGGACACTGAATGCTTAGAATGAAATGTAAATATTTAAGTTCACATACCCTTGCCGAATAACTGTGCTTATCACTGGGTGACAAGCTGTTATAATATGCTAAAAGCATTATGTAAATAATATATAATATGTAATCAATATAACTTATTTCTAAGACAACAACAAACTCTGTACCGCATCGGATGTCATTCCCCTGCTGTAAATGCTAGCGCTCCAGTTTTTTCCGCAACCTCGCTGCACGCGCATCCTGAATGTTTACAAACAGGATAATTCATCTATAGGGTAACATTTGAGTTTACCACGAGTCTTTGAGCTGTAGGCAATGATTCATCATGTCTGTGAGGTTTTTTTATTATAAATAAGAGAGAGTGGCATTTGAAGCGAAATGTTTTAAATGTTTGTTTGTTTTGTGATTTATATGTTTGTATTTGACTCTGTCCATATATTCACTTTTGGTCACAGTGTACAACTGAGCTAATATCAGTTTGCAAGATACACAAACACTGTTTCTTGATTTTTCTTATTTATTTTAGTCGAATAGAGGATTTTTTTTTACTGATCTTCTGAATGAGAGAGTATGGATGTATCAGTTTATGACATGAGCTATCATTTCCTAAATGAGTTTATTTAAATTCTCAGTGTTTTAAAATTAAAAGCTATTTCATAGGAATGCAATATCAGTGATGGTCCTTAAGCTACGAGCCAGACTGATTTGAAATAAGCTGTGAAATGGGGTTGTGTTGAGGTCTGAGCATGAAGTTATAGGCTTTTCCAAGATGTGCATACACCTCACTTTCTGTGATGTGCGCTGTTGTGGATACAGCCCCTTGAGTTGTATGATAATTTAGGGGGCTAATAATTCTGACTTCAATTGTATATATTAGCAATACAATTTATTCACCTTTCAATTCTCAAACCTGTTTTACTTCTTTAATTCTGTTGATCACCAAAGAAGATATTTTTAAGTTGTAACCATTGAAGTCCAACGAAATTCTTTTTCATTCTATGGACGCCAATTGTTTTCAGGTTATGACGCACACAGGTTTGCAACCTCTTGATATTGAGTAATTTAATTTAAAATTTAATTACTAATTTTAGAATTTATTATAAATTAATTATTTATATTTTATTTATTTATTTTTATTTGTAGTAGTACTGGCAGATGCAGCTACCTTACTATCATCATTTTAGTTTACCCAATATCTCAAATCTCCAAATTAAATGAAAAATAAAAAGTCCTGGCATTGGCTTTTGTTTTTTTCATTTATTTATGTTGTGATGGTGATTTCATTTGACACGATATTTAATCAAAACAGCCAAACAGTCATGCAGTACATAACAATCTACACATGAGTTGTTTTTGAAAGCCTGCGTTCATTCAACATCTGTTCCGTTCTATGTGATTTGGTGGCTCTACATGGGGCAGTTACAGACCAGAGAGAATGTAAAGTGGTCTCTTTCTCTGTATTGTTGTCATGGTGATATTGAGCTGGTGCTCTCCTGGGGTCAGCTGAAAAAATAAAGTGAAAAGGTAACCGCTTGGTCAGGTAGGTGCAGTGACATGTATTTCACAGTATAGTCTTTCACATTTTTTTCACGGATAACATTTCAGATTTGATCTCCAACAGATATTTGCCATGTTGCAATTATTCACATAGAGACCAAGAGTTTCCTGCACAACATGGACTGAAAGTGTATATTTTTTGCATGTGCAATACTGACCATTTTTGTGTGCATCAAAACGCATAAGCATCGCACATGTCAAATCAGCATCTTATATTGCAGTTTAATTGTTATTGTAACACATGAATGCATGTTTATTGTAAATCTGTGGATTTAAATAGCTGTAATCTGACAACAAAAAACTCTCTAGAATGTACAAAAGTTTACTTAGCATTTATGCATGTATAAATATTCAAAATAAATAAACTACCAGAAAGAGATGCTTGTGTACATTGGAGTTTGTTGCAGCCGTAATTCTGCAAAAATTATTTGAAATTTAAATGACAAAGAAGAGAGTTACACTCACCGGCCACAATATTAGGTACACCATGCTAGTACTGGGTTGGACCCCTTTTGCCTTCAGAACTGCCTTAATCCCTTATTTCATAGATTCAACAGGGTACTGGAAATATTCCTCAGAGATTTTAGTCCATATTGACATCATGCAGTTGCTGCAGATTTGTCGGCTGCACATCCATGATGCGAATCTCCCATTCCACCACATCCCAAAGGAGCTCTATCTGATTGAGATCTGATGACTGTGTGTTTGTAGCCTCAGTTTTCTGTTCTTATCTGACAGAAGTGGCACCCAGTGTGCTCTTCTGCTGCTGTAGCCCATCCACCTTATGGTTGGACCTGTTGTGTGTTTAGAGATGCTCTACTGCATACCTAGGCTGTAACAAGTGGTTATTTGAGTTACTGTTGCGTTTCTATCAACTGGAACCATGTCTAGCCATTCTCCTCTGACCTCTGGCATTAACAAAGCATTTGCGCCCACAGAACTGCCGCTCACTGGATATTTTCTCTTTTTTCGGGCCATTCTCTGTAAACAGTAGTGATGGTTGTTTATGAAAATCCCAATAGATCAGCAGTTTTCTGAAATACTCACACCAGCCCGTCTGACCATCAACCATGCCACAGTCATTAAATCACCTTTCTTCCTCATTCTGATACTCAATTTGAACTACAGCAGATCGTCATGACCATGCCTAAATGCTTTGAGTTGTTGCCATGTGATTGTCTACTTAAAAATTTGTTAAAAAGGAGTTTACAGGTGTACCTCATAAAGTGGCTAGTGAGTGTAAATATAACATATTTGGTGTAAAATTACTCAAATATTTAGTTTTCCTTTCATTTATGTCTTTTTTATTTCTTTTTTAGAGGTGAGCGCTCATGAAGGGAGTAATGATAATGGCAGCATTTGTGATGGCAGTGACTCCACGCTCTACAAGCAAAGTGAAGGTAACATGAAAAATCAATATACTTTTGCACTCTGAGACCCATAAAGAGACTTTAAATCTGTCAAGTTTCAAAGCCACATCAATATTAAGCCTTTGTTAGCTTGATTTAAATCTGGAAGCCTTTATATTCTTTATAGATTTAAATTTTAAATCTATACAGAAGATAAAGTGATTCCTGGGTTACAGTATTGAGCATTGCATTTAATAAAAACCACTGTCTATATAATTAAAAAAATTACAAATAAATCAAAAGTGAGTATATACAAACATATACTACATATGGAATAGAAAATGTCTCTTGATCATTTTTATCGGTTTAAAGCATCACATTAACACTAACATTCTAAAGTTTGGTCAAATATTTTTTGAAAGAACATCCTTACCAAGGATCAGAATACAGTAAAATCGGTTAAATTTTGCTTGATATATATATAGACCTATATAGACTATATATATATATATATAAATAGTCTATATCAGTGGTTCTCAAACTGTGGTACAGTACGTGTACCACTAGTGGTACGCGGACCTTCTTCCAGTGGTACACAGAGGAATAAAATATGTTATATACATGCTACATATATTTCAAAATTTATCAAAAATTATGTATATAATTTGCCATATATGACATATAGCCTTTATTTCTAAGGTTATCTTTCACGGTTTTTTTTTTTAACTGTGCAGAGCTGTAGCTGCTTTACTAGGCTTACTACAGTAATGTATTTCAATGATGCTCATTTTGATGGAACTTGGAGAGACAATTTTTTTCTGAGTTGGTACTTGATGAAAAAAGTTTAAGAACCACTGGTCTATATATATATATATATATATAGACGCCCCTCTTTTATTCTTATATTCTTTTTTAAATATTTCCCAAACGTTTTACAGAGCACGACAATTTTCACAGTATGTCTGATGATATTTTTTCTTCTGGAAAAAAATCATATTTGTTTTATTTCGGCTGGAATAAAAGCAGTTTTAATTTTTTTAAAAGCCATTTTAAGGACAAAATTATTAGCCTCTTTAAGCTATATTTTTTTCTTATAGGTTACAGAAAAAAACATCGTTATAAAATAACTTGCCTAATTACCCAAACCTCCATAGTTAGCCTAATTCATCTAGTGAAGACTTTAAATGTCACTTTAAGCTGTATGGCTCTGAAGGCTGTTATCATCCATCCACATAGTTAAACAGCTAAAGATCACATCTGACAAAAGCTGGAAGTTCACAAGAATTATTTGTTTTATTTAGTAAATTTCTCATTAATTGTATTTTATTAACGTCTACTCCTACGCCAACCCTAAACTTAACCATCACAGTAATGTAAAAACAAATCTGGATCTGGAGTCTTCTCTATTAGCATAGCTGATTAACCATGATAATTATTTATATTATTTATTAAATTTCCCATTAATTGTATTTTATTAACATCTACTCCTACCCCAACCCTGAACCCAACAGTTAAAGCTATGTTTCCATCCACCTATTTTATGTGCAAATGCGCATAAAAAAAACAGTTGATGGAAACGCCATGATGCGCATAAGTTTTGAAAATGCGCATAAAAAACATATGCGCCTAACTGGGTAGGATAAACTTTTTATTCGATAAGAAAAGATGCGCATAAACTGCGATGGAAACACTTTTACCGCACAAACTCCAGCATGCGCATTAAAAAAGGTCATGTGATTTTGTTGAAAGAGATCATGTGATGCTTAAAATGTGTGTGAATGGATAAAACATCAGGCTGAGCACATTACAAAACATCTGAAATGTTATTTTGGTCATTATAAAATGCCTTCCAATTTCAGTGTTAATGTTATTATATTATTAATGACCTCCAGAATCAAGAACGCCCTTGCTCCGCGTCTGACACCTTCAAAAGCCACTGCACGCTCACTGCTTGTCAGGATTGTCTTCTGAGGCGCATACATTTTAAAAAGATTGATGCAGCTTCTCCTACTGCAGCAAATGCAGATTTTACTGTTTATATTTGGCGCCAGTTAATCAAGAAGTGATGATTTTTTTCGATTTGCTCGTTGGATGGAAACGATGCTTCATTCGCACAACTTTTATGCGATAATCGAGTTTTGCGCATAAAGTTTATTCGCATTTTTGGATGGAAACATAGCTACTGTAATCAAAAACAAATCTGGGTCTGGAGTCTTCTCTATTAGTACTGATAAACTATGTGGATGGATTATAACAGCCTTCTGAGCCCACCAGTAGGCGCAGAAAGCCCCTATTGGCCCATATTTAGCTGATAACCACTTGAGTGATACATTCGAAACGGGTGAAATTGTCCAGTCTTCAGTGTCTTAATATCCTTTATAAATGATTATATTTAATGAAAAGAAACAATTTTAGTTTGATATTATTGGTTATAATCATTATATTTGATATCAAAGTAACTTTGCACCTTATTATTACCAATGTTCAAAACAGTTACACTGTAATATTATAGTTATTATATAGTTATATATTTGTGGGAACATTTCCAGGACACTTTGATTAACAATAATTCTTAATAACTATTTATTTAAAGTAGATTTGAACCTTTACATGTTTAATGAATTTCATCATCTCTGCCTAAAGAATAAATGTAAAATAAAAAAATAATTATTTTTTTCTAAATTAATAAAATACAGAATTTCAGTCTGTAACTATAAACTGCTTAAAGCATCTACATTTTGAATAGAAACGGTTAATGTGCCTTTCACTGCGCGTGGAATTCACATTAAGCCCAACAGGCATCTTTATTTAAACATGTCCTACTTGATTAACTTAATGGAAGTTCTTTCTTCACAGAAGACACACTTTTACACACACACATGCAGCTAAATTTATGGGGACTTATCATAGACGAAATGATTTTTATACTGTACAAACTGTACTGTATTATAATTCTTTCCTCTAAACCCAAACCTCAGAGAGGGCATTTTGCTGTTTTACATTTTCAGAGTTCTTCATTCTGTGTGATTTCTGAGTAATTTTTCTATTGGGGACCATATAAATGTGCCCACAAGGTACAAAGTCACGGGTATTGCTACTTGTTGACACACAATGTGATAAATACAAGGTCAACAAACAGACACACACACAGTGGAATCTGTATATACTGTATTTACTGTGTTGTATTATTTTACCTGCTGGCATGAGAATCAAAGGTGCTTAACTATTGTATTGTATTGCATCGGTCAATTACTGTAATCTCTACAGCACTCCAACAGTCTATGAATTACTGTTAAGTTTAACACTCATCATGCACACAAACAAACACACACACACACACACACAGAGAGAGAGGAAACAAACAGTGATAAACAAATAATGAGTAGTTGTTAATATATGTGAATCCATTCAAAATACAGGTCACAGCATGGCAGACACACTTACGGTTGCTCTCCGTGTGGCAGAGGAGGCGATAGAGGAAGCTATTGCTAAAGCGGAGAACTACAAAGACAGTCTGGTAACACATTATTCTTTATTTATTATTCATCCAACCACCAATTTATCTTTCGTCCAGCTCTACAGCCAAGTATTCATTCATTGATCTGACATCTATCCATTTATTCTTCTGGACAATATAAGGCTCCATAAAATATCACTCTATTTTGTAGTTCAGATGTTTTCATCCTTCTCTCAGTTTGGACCATCTATCTTATTGCCACAGCATTTGCAGGGCTGTTGCATATAATAAAAAACAGTACGCATTTTGTTCAATAAGTGATAATTCATAAAGACATTAAAATATATGCTTTTTTAACAAAAAGAATTAAAGAAAGATTAAATTATATTCAACATCTTGTGGCAGGCGACCGCATACTGTGCTGTCTAGCAGTCTGCACATTTGCCTACACTGTAAAAAAAAAATCCTGGTTGCCTTAAAATTTTTAGCTGAATCTAATTAACTTTAATAGTCCATTGAACGTATATTATATTAAACTGACAAGAAACAGCTTACGTAACTATAAAATTAAGTTAGAACATGATTAACATAGTTTATTAAGTTACAATGACCTAAAATATATGCTGTCAGAACTAATTGATCATATGATTTTTTACAGTGTAGTAATATAAAAAGCTAAAAAAAGTGGTAATATAAAAGTAGTAATATAAAAATATACAGTATTGGTCGTCTCAGAACAGTGGTGTAGTCTGTTAATTATGTAACTGCAGAACTTTTTCAGTTTTTGTTTTATGTTGGGAACTTCATTATGGTATTTTCATGTTTTTTTTTTCATTGCATAAAAAACCCTGCAACCATACAATTGTTGTAATTGACCACCCATAGAAATGACCAAGCACTCACAAAAAAATGAAAACATTATTTTGTATTAATCAATAAAAAATACATTTACCTACTGGAACTCTTCCGATTGGTGTGTCTCTGTTGTTAATGTGTCTTGGCTAGTTAATGGAGTTTCGTTTACTCTATTACTGAAGTCCAGCTAGCACTTTTGAAAAATGGACACATCAAGTGCCCTATCATACACCCGGTGCAATGTGGCGCAAGGCGTAGCGCAATAGTTGTTTGCTAGTTTCAGCTTGGCACAAGAGTCGTTTTGACGTTTTGCGGCACGTTGTTTAAATAGCAAATGCATTTGTGTTCATAAGTGTGCTCATAGGCATTCTGGTCTAAAAAGGAAGGCATTCTGAGGCGCACTGCTGGCGCGTTGCTATTTTGAGAAACTATAATAGATTTTTCAATAGACCAGAACAAAGCTGGTCTATTGTCCAAAGCAGAGCGCGTTAGTTGTGCGCCTCGCTCACACACTGCTTAATGCACACAAGATGAAGAGCAATAAGCAAATATCTGTACAAATGAAAAATAATTAAAATATTAAGGAATTTATATAGGATAAGGGATATATATATATATATATATATATATATATATATATATATATATATATATAGGATATAATAAGGATATATATAGGATATAAATATAAAAAATATTAAAATATTACAAAACATATTATTTTCTAGCCTACATGAATTTAAAAACCACTGCCTTCATGCCTTCTTCATCTCAGGAGGCTTTTTCAGTTCATTCATAACAATTTGCTTTTGTATAATGTTATTATTATTAGCAGTATTATTTATTATATGCGTATTCATATTTGTTTAATTAAAAACAAGCTTAGATTTGCTCAGTTTTTCCCAATTACAAAATCGTCATGTAAATAGCGAATGCACTTATGGCGCTACACAACTGGCTCTTAAAGGGAATGGGAGATGAGACTCTGATTGGTTTATTCTCAAATCACACCTATAACTCATTAAGAAAATAAACTCAACTCTTTTAGATCATGCGCCACGGCGCAAAACTGATTTTTCCTTCCTTATTTTAGCAAAAGTGGATTCTGCCACGCCCTGAAAGCGTTTGCGCTCTGCGCTTTGCACTTTGCACATGGACCACCAAAATAGAACCTAAAATGAAACTATTTTTGAAAGTATGACTTTTGTTCATTTTATCTTTTTGCAATTGGGTGATGATTTCAGCATTGTTTCATTACCAGTAATTCATTTGTTGAAAACACAATGAAATATGCTCACTGTCGGAAACCTAAATCTGTACTTATGCCTGCATTTATCTTTTAATTCATTCACTCTTAGTTTAGTTTCAAGTTTTGTTTTTAGATCTTGATAATTGAACAGTTATATTACCTTGTTTCGGGTTCTATTTAGGAGACTCATGATTTTAGTTTATTAACAATTATTGTCAGGGCATATGCATCATAGTCCAAGAGCTTCAAGTTCTTCTGTATGCCTGTTTAGTGGGGGAAAGCAAACAGATATTTGAGATATTGTTTGCCACAATTAAAACAAGAAATCAGATGTTTATTATGGTACAAACTAACCAAAAGCATATTCAGAACCAAATAGAATAGTTTTAGCATTTTAGCCCTAATTTGTTTAATCATTTAATATTGTATTCCCCCTCTTACTCTCTATCTCTTTTCTCTGTCTCTCTCTCTCTGACAGGAGAAACAGAACGAGGCTCGTTATTTGCATGAGCACAAGGAAGAGCTCATAGAGGAACTTGCCACAACAATTGTTCAAAAAGTAAGAGCCATTCCGAAATGCAATACAGCAACGTCACAATTCTGCTTCATGGAAACAGATTCTCAATGTAATTAATAACCTTTATTTAACCAGGTCAAGTCAATTGAGAACCAATTCTAATTTACAATGACAACCTGACCAAGAGACAACATGAAAAGCAGATGCAGTACAAAGCAGTTGGGACACAATACAATGACAATTTCACAAATGCAAATAATAACATATAAAACCAACAAAAAAAACTAAAAACAAGCACAGTGATCTTGAACTATTGACTGAATAGAATTTTTAAAAGATGACAGCGGAATGAAAGTGCTGAGCTTTAAGGTCTGCTGCAGATGTTTCCAAGCATCAGCAGCAGAAAACTGAAAAGAGTAGCGACCAAATGATGCCCGAACTTTGGGTATGCAAAGGTTAATGAAGTTACTAGAGCGCAGATTTCGACATGTTTCCTGAATGTTAAGAAGTGGCTGTAAATAAAGTGGAATTTTTCTAATAGGAGTTTTGTAAATGGACAGAAACCAATGAATTTGACGACGTGATTGAAGAGAAGGCCAATTCAGTGAAGAATACAGTTGACAGTGATGAGTATTAAATGGTGCACCAGTAACAAAATGAATTGCTGCATGATAAATAATATCCAGTTTGTAAAGAAGAGTTTTTGAAGCTGATCTGTTAATTAAATCCCCATAATCCAGAATTGGTAATACTGTTAATTTAACCAAATGCTGCTTTGAAGAGTGAGTAAAAGAAGATTTGTTCCTGTAAAGAAAACCAATGCGGGCTTTAACCTTTTTGAGCAGTTTATTTATGTGAGTTTCAAACGCCAGTTTCCCATCTAACCAGATAGATATTAAGATATTTATATCAATCAACATAATTAATCTCAGTACCGTCCAATGAGGAAATTTTAGGAGGAAACTCAACATGTGGTAAATTTCTATTAAAAACTATACATTTTGTTTTGTTAGTATTTAAAACTAAGTGAAGATTGGTAAAAGCGTGTTGGATACTTAAAAAACTGGCTTGCAATGAAGAAAGTGCTGTAGTCAGAGAAGAACTGGAAGTATAAATGATGGTATCATCAGCATATAGATGTATGTAAGAATCACCTGCAGCAGAAGCAATATCATTAACATAAATATTAAAAAGTGTATACTACCTTGTATACTACAATATACTACCTTGTGGGACCCCTTTCTGAAACATCTGGGGATCTGACAGAAGCCCCTCCACCCTTACTGATTGTAGACGACCAGAACAGTAGTTCCTGAACCAGACCAGACAGCTCTCAGATAGTCCAATATATCTGAGCCTATCCAGTAGAATTGAGTCATCTGCCATATGGTTTAATATTGAGTTGGCCTTTTGAGCTTTAACAGCTTCAACTCTTCTGGGAAGGCTTTCCACAAGGTTTGTTTTTATGGAAATGTTTTGACCATTCTTCTAAAAGCGCATCTGTGAGGTCAGGCACTGACTAAAAGGCCAGATTGCAGGCCAGTGAACCTCCTCCACACCATGTTCATCTGTCTTTATGCTTTTGTACATTGTGTGTAGTTTTATGGAGTAGGTAAAGGCCATCCACAAACTGTTCCCATAAAGTTGGGATCATAATATTGTCCAAAATATTTTAATATACTGAATCATTTGAAGTTCATTCCACTGGAACTATTAGAAGCCAGGACCAATCACTAAAAAGCAACACAAAGCAATATTCCCCCCGGTCTGTAAATATAGACTCTGCAGAAAGTTTCTAACTTCTGTGCACTTTCACACCTAAATAAAATTAGTTTCACAACTAAATGAAACCAAAATCTTTACTTGCTGAGAATAAAATCTAATGTATTTAGTTGTTTTTTATTAAGTTTAACATCAGAAAACCCATCTACTTAACTTTGACTCACTTGATGGGCATGGATCCTTAGTATTAAATTAGAATTACTGAAGTACATTGATTACATATGTGATGTAATTATTTGTATGTACTTCATGACTTCTGAGCTTTGACCTCACATTCCTTAAAGTCAGCTTCATTTAGTCACAATTGTATCTCTATCACAAATAATTCAAATAAAAAAAGTCTTAAACATTGAATATCCATCTGTAAACCTTTTGCATACAGTGCACGACAATATGGTTTGAGATACTAATCACAAGCAGCACTATGTGGTACTTCGGACCGTTTGAGGAAACCGATTGCAACAAACCATTTAAGTTTATAAACTAATTCTAATGAGTACTGTGAACTTAATCCATTTGAGTAAATGAAGCAATGTGAGCACAGCAAAACCCAATAAATGACAAGAACTCAAACCAACTGAGTACTGTAAAACCCAATAAGTTAAGGCTACTCGAACTGATTGCAACAAACCATTTGAGTTAAAAAAAAAAAATCTATATGAGTATTGTGAATTTACTTCATTTAAGTTGAAGGAATGAGGTATTTAATTAACTCATTACCTTTAGCACTGAGTTCAAAACTCTTTTAAAATGAGTAGAATTATCTTTCAGTCAATTTTAAGTTAACTACACATTCGATAGACCTAATTTTTCTCTTCTTTTATGTGTCTTTCGTTGTAGATTATTCAGAGGGGAAAGCGGCCGGAGATACAAGAAGAGTATGAGTTTGTATGGCCTCAGAATCAGAAAAGTGAGCTACCATCTCCTACCTCAACACAAAACCCACTTGCAACGCAGAATTCACACTCCACCTCTCAGCCAGGCGCAGTAGCCCAGTCTGACATAAGTAAGGTAAGAAGTATGCAAGCGTCTGTGAAATGGTGTTTCCATTAGTTTTACAGTGCTTATTCAGCATTCCTTACCTTATCTGTAATGCATGCACAATCCCTTCTATGGCACTATACAAAAACAATGCTGGAAACAAGAAAAAGTTAAACAGGAAGACAATACTATAACAGAATATTTGAAATGCACAATAAAAGCATATTAATTAATCACACATTTTTTGTGTGTTTTCAGTATTGCTCTTGTACAAAGATTTTTATCAGGTGATCAAGAATCACCAAGTCATATTGCAAGTCTTAAGCGCCCCCTGTTGGTGAGATTAATGTTCTGCAACCTGCTTGCTTCTATAGCTATAAACCAGGCGTGACCAACCCTGTTCCTGGAGATCAACCTTCCTGCAGATTTCAGTTGCAACCCATATCAAACACACCTGCCTGTAATTATCAAGTGCTGGTCAGGTCCTAATTAATAGGTTCAGGTGTGTTTAATCAGGGTTGGAGCTGAACTTTGCAGTTTGCAGGCAGGTCGATCTCCAGGAACAGGTTTGAGCACCAAACACTTTAAACTGTTGTTGTTGTTTTAACCAAATGCAATTTGTGCATACAACTAAAATTTCTGGAGTTTCTGTGAACTATATAATTGTCCACACATATATTTGACTGAAGAGTTTAGTTTTCTAACATAACAAATGTTTTTAATGTCACTTTTGGTTAATGTGTCCCTGCATGCTGAATTAAGTAATGAATAAGTAATGATTTCTTTAAAGATTCTGTAAAGCGCTTTGAGGATCAAGAAAATAATATGTAATAAATGCAATGATTAAAAAACATAACAAAATATATTCATATTTTAACATAATTGTTCATATTTATATTTCCAGCCCTTTAAAATGATAGTTGTTTTGCATGTGCTTTGGTTGGCGTCTGTTTAGAGGTCAAGATCAGCGTACTCGAGTGACGATTCTCCAGAAAAGGGCCCTGAGGTGGGCATGGCCCCAGGGGTTCCAAAGAGCACTGAGGTAGAGACAGACATACAAAATTACTCATCACTCAGGAGGGAGTCCAGAGCATTATCACTTCCTGGATGGAAGAGTGTTGACCGCCTTGAAAACTCCAGTAAGAGCATGTAAACAGACAAACACAACTGTAAGATGAATTCAACTGCACTGTAAAACCCACAAAGTTAAGCTAATCTAAACCATTTGAGGAAGCTGATGGCAACAAACCATTTAAGTTCAAAAACTAATCCAACTCAGTTCGGTGAACTTAATCCATTTGAGTAAACGAAACAATTTGAGCACAGTAAAACCCAATAAATGAAAAGAACTCAAACCAAACCAACTGTAAAACCCAACAAGTTAAGGCAACTTAAACCGTTTGAGGAAACCAATTGCTACAAACCATTTTTAAAGTTTTATTTTTAGTAAAAAAAACTAATCTATATGAGTAGTGTAAACCTACTCCATTTACACTGTTAAAAGTAATTAGTTATTTAAAGTGAGTAAACAAATTGCCTTAAAAGCAACAAGTTGACTTTACAAAAATATTGTTAGTAAATCCATTGTAACTTGGAATTGTTAAGCTGACTTAATTTTAATAATTATGCTTATTGTACTTTCTTTTTAAAGTCAACTAATCTTTTTTATAATGGCAAACCATTTTAGCATGTCTCTTTTCAAAAAATTACTGCAGTTATTGCAATATTACATATTTGGTGCTTCATTAAGTTGATAAAATTTACAAATATAGCCTGTATTGAATTTAGAAGACATACTGGGGTCTGGAAGAGCAGATTTATTTTAGTTACTGTCATTTTGCTAGACACAGAAAAGCTGAAGAATAATAAATGTGTAATAATATGTGTATTGGAAAAAGTGATTAGCTTACTTTTATTTTAAAAAGTGAATACATCTTAATAATATAAATTAAGTCAACTCAACAGTTACAAGTAACAATGAATTTACTTACATTATTTTTGTAAAGTCAACTTGTTTCTTTTAAGGCAATTTGTTTACTCGCTTTAAGTAACTAATCTCTTTTTACAGTGTAATTAACTCGTTACCTTTAACACTGAGTTTAAAGCTCTTTTCAAATTAGTAGAATTAACTTTCAGTCAATTTTAAGTTAACAACACTCATTTCATTTGATAAAGTTGACTGTTGGGTTTTTCAGTGTGTTAGTTCTTTGCTCACACTTCCGTAGCACTTTTCTTTACAATTTACTCACATTCACAGCTGAATTGTTGATTCATTTTAAGATGTATAGGTATTATATATTAATACCTTTAAGTTAAAATTCTGTAATATTTTACTCAAACTCATGTTATTCTGGCTTCTTTTCTTTGATATGAAAGATGAATGATGTGCCAAAACAATAAATATTAACAGGTTTCCCAAAATATGGATAAACAATTAAAAAGGGTAAATAAGGACAGATTCAATTTGAGACACTTGTGTGTGTGAGGCGACTGTGTGTAAAATAATTCTACGAAAAGGTCATTCTACAGAAATATCAGGTTTTTTTTCTGGCCCTAGCCTCACAGGAATATTACATTTGATTATTACACTCTTCAGGCTTACAATTTCTTTACATTTTAAAATTTATATGTTTTACAAATCTGTTATTTCAACAATTACACCTTTTTAAGTCATTAATGTCGCAATAATTTTTTTAAAAATTACTTACTAATTACTTATTATTTTGAGGTTAAAAACTGATTTTTCTACAGTTCAAAATATTGTATTTATAACATGATGTTTATGACGTATATGACATTAAAACAGGCGACACAGTAAGTACTGTTGTCGCCTCACAGCAAGAAGGTCGCTGGTTCGAGCCTAGGTTGGGTCAGTTGGCATTTCTGTGTGGAAATTGCATGTTCTCCCCGTGTTGGTGTGAGTTTCCTTCAGGTGCTCCGGTTTCCCCCAAAAGTCCAAAGACATGCGCTATAGGTGACTTGGGTAAGCTAAATTGTCAGTATGCATGTGTGTACAGTATGTCTTGGTCCTCCAGGTTGGGGGTTAAGCGTTGTGCTAACGACCCACCTCATAAAAATTAGATGTTGTGAATGACCAACATGATGCAAATATCAACTTTTAATATAAATTGCCCTTGGAGTAAGTAAGTAAAGAAAATAAAAGCTGAAAAATTTGGAAGTTTAGTCTATTAGCCATTTTAAGTTATCTGTAATGAAGAGACCCTATTTGGTCAACTCAGTTAATTGGCTTGTTGATTTCCCATTGCTTAAACGAACTGAGGGAATCACTTTCCTCAAATCATTTGAGTAGTCGCAACTTATTAGGGTTTACTGTGTGCAACTCTGACTACATGTACCTGAAAAAAATCCAGAAATAAAAACCTTTAATATTTGCTAAAAAAAAAAAAAAAAAAAAGTATATAACACCAGTGAAAAAAGTCTTTAAAAAAAGATTTAAAGATTTACAAAATATATTTAAAAAAAACATTAAGGTGCCATTTATGTGTTTTCATAAATAAAACAGGACATTGAACAATGTGGCCTAAGTTAAAGCTAGAAAAAGACATTTTGGGTTGGCACTTTGGCTAAGTGATTCACAGCAAAAAGATTGTTGGTTCGAGTCACAGCTGGACCAGAAGGCCTTTCTCTATGGAGTTTGCATGTTCACCCAGTTGTTTCCCCATGTTACAAATACGTTGGTTGTTGCAACATAGGCTCATTCTGTAAACCCTATATACGTTTCTGGAGATCACAATTTATGTAGCCAGAAGTGCGTATGGCTGCAATTTGTTTTTCAAATGAAACCTATGGGGCGGTATGACGAAGTTCCTTTTCTTGCTCACTAGCTGACTGCTTACCTCTGTATGGATGGCTTTCTCGCTGTTACCAGTTTATCCAGTTAGCTCACCAAGGACTTTGGTGGACTTGAGAAGCAGAGAGGAGTTGACCAAGGCGATGAGGTTTGAGTCCGGTGAAGAACAGTGTCAGGGTGAATCCAAAAAATAAAATAAACAAATAAATAATGAAAATGTGGTAAAAATCAGACGAGGGCTTTTCTTTTTCTGGATTGCTTTTTAAAACTGTTTCTTTGGCTTTAGGAGGTAAGTGAGCAGGTCAATCTGTGCTTTTAAAAACACTATTGGTTGGGTTCAGGGAAGTGGGTAGGCAGGTCAATCTGTGCTTTTATAAACTCTATTGGTTGGGTTTAGGGAAGTGTGTGAGCAGGTCAATCTGTGCTTTTAAAAACACTATTGGTTGGGTTCAGGGAAGTGGGTAAGCAGGTCAATCTGTGCTTTTATAAACTCTATTGGTTGGTTTTAGGGAAGTGAGTGAGCAGGTCAATCTGTGCTTTTAAAAACACTATCGGTTGGGTTTAGGGAAGGAAGAGGGTGGGTCAGTCAATCAGTCAGTCGGCAGCGGCTTCTTGTGGATTTACAAAAACTGCAAAAAAATGTAGTTCATGTGATGTATTTAGCAGTCTCCAGAAATGTATATACAGCAGGTGCGAATGGCACTCACAAGAAAAATTTTAAATCCCAAAATGCGTACACAGCAGCCTCTGGTGAATTCACAAAAACTGCAAAAAAATGTAGTTCATGTGATGTATTTGGCAGTCTCCAGAAATGTATATAGAGGTACGTTTTAATAATATGTCTGTGTTGCTGAGTGTTGTGTTCTTAGTGCTGAGTTGTGTCGAAAGGGCATCCGGTGTGTTAAACAACTGCCAGAGACATTGGCGCTTCATATTTCATTTTGGCAACCCCTGATAAAGCAGAGAATAAGTCAAAGGAAAGAGAGTGAGTTTCTGTAGAATGATTCTGTTTCTGTAGAATGACTAAAAGCAAAGTGTTTAATTCTGCACAAAACATAACTGCAATTATTTTGCATGTGGTTGTTACTGAAAAGCTTACACAGATCACCTTAAATATTACCACACCTCTTTTTAATAATTTTGACTTTTTTCCATTTTGTGTTTGTTTATGTGGTTCGCTTACACAAACACACTCACACACACACCTATACACACACCCATCCTCTATATTTGTCTGTCCAGGTGTTTGTGTCTGTCTCCACAGGTGCATCTTCAGTCCTGCAGTCCCCTGATGGTAACTGGATTGCCCTGCAGAGCTCCCAGCATTCCCGGCCCAGCCTGCTGACTAAGCGCAAAAGCCTCGTTTTCAGTGTGCTTGAGAAAGAATCAGGCGTGGTATCTGCGTATGATGAAATGGGCTCAGATTCAGACCCTGAGGATCAGGGTGGATGGGGCGCTGCCTTGTTACAGTTTCGCAGACGTCTCTCTGATGAAACATACTATACTGACTCTCAACACGACCCTGAATGGACATTTACTCAACATCCACCCATTACATCACCCTCTTCGGGTCAATACACCAACACTGAAACCCTGAACTCTGACTCAGAGACATCTCCTTCCCCGTCGACTCGAGCCCGTAGAGCACCCGTGATGAAAAAAGGGCCACCCGAAACACACCTATATCCTTACTACAGGCACCCTGCAGACATCGTAGCTTTGCCTCAGTTGAAGCCAGATGTCCTCGATGTGAACTTTAATCCCCACTTGGGTGGGGACAGTAGTGATGGGGAGGAGCGGAGCGAGCAGGTCAAAAGATCACGGAGGCGTAGAAAGAGCAAACGCGAGACATCAGAGCACAGCCGAGCACATAATGCACTGTACAGTGCTGCCACTGCGGTGAGTAAAACTACAGACTTTTGATTTATTAAAATAGAGAATCCTGACACATACTGGATAGTGGTTGTGCTTCAACTATGGTATAAAGATCAACATTTTGATGCTGCTGACATGTTGAAACTAAAAACACAAATGACATAAATTTACATTTATATGGTAACACTTTATAACAACTATGAATCATTTAATTAAGCATTAGCAAATAGTTAATTCATTATCTGTTAAGCATTAGTAAGCAGTTTATAACTACAGATACAAATGATGTAATCTTTACTTAGAAGGAGAGTCAGACAGAATCTGCGGACATTTTTGGCTATTTCTGCTTAGAATTTTGAAAAAATCTGCGGATTTATGCAGAATTATTTCAGGAGTATCGCAACAAAAAATTTAATATATAACATAAAAAACATTTATGTTAAAACATTAAAACTTTTTTACAATGCAAATACATCTAGAGACACTTATTTGGTTAACAAAGCAAATCTATCATATGATAAATACACTACAAGACAGAAAATATTACTTTGCAAACTGTATTGTAAGTAAATCAAATAAACACTTTCATATTAGTCCATAATATTATGAAATTGGCATTAGTCTAAATGAATTTAAAATCAAATAAACATAAATTTGCACACATTTACAAAAGTAAATAAATAGACTCAATGATGGGCCAAAAATCTGCGGAAATCTGCGGATTTCTGCTCGCAAAGATTGCATGTGGGCCTACATGTCGTATAATTTGCTTAATGATTGTATTTTCATACTTTGTTAATTATTATTTTTTATTACTAAGTATTGCATCATTTACAAACCAGCTATTTGAGAGAAGTTGGTGGTTTTTAAAGATTATTCAGAATGCGCCAGTAATTGATTTATAAACTATTCAAATGAACATTTACAAATCTTATTGTTCAGGCATATATAATAATATTAGGCGACGCAGTAGTGCAGTAGGTAGTGCTGTCGCCTCACAGCAAGAAGGTTGCTGTTTCAAGCCTCAGCTGGGTCAGTTGGCGTTTCTGTGTGGAGTTTGCATGTTCTCCCTTCGTTTGCGTTGGTTTCCTCTGGGTGCTCCAGGTTTCCCCCAAAAGTTCAAAGACATGCGCTATAGGTGAATTGGGTAGGCCAAATTGTCTTTAGTGTGTATGGATGTTTCCCTGAGATGGGTTGCGGCTGGAAGGGCATCCACTGTGTAAAAACATATGATTTAAAAGTTGGGGGTTCATACCACTGTGGTGACCCCAGATTAATAAAGGGACTAAGCTGAAAAGAAAATGGATTGACGAATATTAATATTAGTTTGTATGTTAATAAATGCTTTATTAACTTAACTTAATCTCAACTAAAATAAAATTACTGTGCAGTTTAAACATCTCTAACACTGAAATTTTGTATAATAATATATTGTTAAATTATTATAGTGTTGTTTTATTAAACTTTATGTAGTATTTTGATACTCCTGTTATTCGACAATGTTCACAGTAATTTTACTTTTTAGATAAGTTTGCAAACATGTATTGATCATTTGATACTGACTGAACTCAACTGACTTTATTTCTATAGCACTTTCACAAATCACAATGATTACCAAAGTGCTGTACATAAAACACATAAAACGCATGTAAAATATACGTAAAACCAAAAAACATAAATTCACATCACATGATTAAAAGCTAAAGAAAATAAGTGTGTTTTCAGTAACCTCTGAAAAAACTCAAAAGTTTAAGCTGTTCTTAAAGAGAGTGGGAGATCGTACTGAGCCTTTAAATATTATATATTAGGGATTAATAAAGCATAAATAGTCCTTACTTTAGATTAAGTCACAAAATGGGATGAAGTTGAGTTAATAAAGTGTTAATAACATACAAATTAACTGTTAGTATATGCCTGCATAGTAATATATGAATGTTGATTAAATAGTTTATTAATCTTTTAGTAACTCATTCTAAATAATCTTTAAAAAAACAACTAATCTTAAATATCAATGATTTGATAAATAATGCAATACTTAATTTAGTCCTGAAAAAATTATCAGTAACAAAGTATAAAATTACAACTATTAAGCACATTTTAAATGTGCATACAATTCAAGAATACAGCATTTGTAACTGCAATTATAAACTGCTTACTAGAATTTATTAATTTTGAATTAATGTTTACCAAATAATGAATCCACCTTTGGGCGACATGGTGGGGCAGTAGGTAGTGCTGTCGCTTCACAGCAAGAAGGTCACTGGTTCGAGCCTCAGCTGGGTCAGTTTGCGTTTCTGTGTGGAGTTTGCATGTTCTCTCCGTGTTCACATGGGTTTCCTCTGGGTGCTCCGATTTCCCCCACAGTCCAAACACATGTGGAACAGATGAATTGGATAAGCTAAAATATCCGTAGTGTATGAGTGTGAATGAGTGTATATGGATGTTTCCCAGAGATGGGTTACAGCTGGAAGGGCATCAGCTGCGTAAAACATTTGCTGGATAAGTTGGCGGTTCATTCCGCTGTGGATACCCTGGATTAGTAAAGAGACTAAGCCGAAAAGAAAATGAATGAATGAAAGAATTCATCTTTGCAAATGCTTAGTAGATGATTCATAGTATGTAGTTATTATAAAGTGTTACCCAGAAAAGTTACTGCTTATCCATATAATTGGTAATAAATAAATAAACAAAAAATGTGAAAAATGTGAATTTGTTAATTTAATTTATTATGTACAAATGCTTTGAACAAACTGTTTTTTTTTTTTTTTTTGTTTTTTTAGAATTGAAAGATCATTATTTATCATCATTTTAAACATTAAATGAGAATAACAAGTTTTGAAAGTTGCTTCAATATAGGCAGACCATATAAAAAGAAGGGAAGAAAATGAGAAATCATTTGGAAATGATAGTTCATATTCTATTCCAGCAGGTGGCACTGCAGGGCAAGATTTTACTTTAATTGGTATAATAACATCTTTTAGCTCAGTCATGAAGATTTGATTTAAAATATTTTTTCTCTCTCTTGTGTTATTTTTCTCTCTCCACTCTTATCAACCTCTTAGGAGAACAGTACTGTCCTCCTCAATGCCATGATGATGCGCCGCCAACAGAGCCAGGAGAACACAGTCCCTCTGAATCACCAAACTCCAGACTCTGTGACCTCTCCAGACATTCTGACCTTTAACAACATGTCTCCTGAACCTGAATATCAGAACACATTAGCTCATAACTCCAGTGCTGCCAGCCTGCCATTGCTGAGCCAGCTAGGCTCCAACAATCCAGGGTTCGCCCCTCAGGACCCTTTGCTCAGGGCCTTCCCAGTTAATGAAACACTGGAAGAGGAGCTGAAATACAAACTCAGTGAGCTGATTGGCCAAGTCAGTGAGAGGGATGTAAAATCATCGGATTTTGAACCAATCAGTGAAGTGGGCAACAAGCAAGAGGACAGAGTAAGTGAGAAAGACAGTGGGAAACTAAGACCCAAGGAGAGGCGGGAGAGCAAGCGGGAAAGTAAATTGAGGGAAATGGAGAAGCAAAGTGAAAGACAAACAGTTAAACTGATGGATACAAGTGATGCTGTGAGACAGATAAATATTGAGAGACAAATGAAGAAAGAGAGGGAGCGACAGAGAGATATTGAAAGACAGGTAGAAAGAGAGCGGGAGAGACAAAGAGAGCTAGAGAAACAAATTGAGAAGGACAGAGAAAGGCGGCGAGAGATCGAGATGCAGGTCGAGAAGAAACAGGAAAGACAGAAAGAAATGGAGAAACAACTGAAACAAGAACAAGAGAGACAATCAGAGATTGAGCGAGACTTAGAAAAGAAAAGGAAAAGCATACGAATGGAAAAAGAGAAATTAGTGAGTGTGAAATCCAGAGAACGTGAACAGGAATTGGTGAGAGAAACAGGGGAAGCATCAGGTAGAGCGTTGAAGCGAAATAAGAGTTTGGAGGAATACAAATATGAAACCGAGAAAGAAAAGGTGAATAAAATATCTGCACAGAGAAGCAAATCAGAAACGTCAGCAGAAAGAAAGAAGCTTGATATAAAGACAGCAAGGTCTTTAACAGCATCTCCAGAAAGCACCCCCTGCGGTCTGGAGGAGCCAAAGTCTCCATCAGAGGTATGTACTGGCTTTAGCCTGTATTACTAACAGTTCTCCTACACATATCACCCAGGCTTTGTTCTAAACTGTAGTGAACTGCCTAGTTAAACTCCAAAATCTCTTGTTGACAATTTAGCCGGTGCCACTTTATATTAAGTGTCCTTAACTACTATGTACTTCCATCAAAAAAATAAATAGAATGTGCTCACTGTGTTTATGATGAATTTGAGAACACTTGTGGTGCTTTTGAGTTGGGATAGAGGTTGGGTTATGAACAGGTTTGGTGGCATGGGTAGGTTTAAGGGTGGGTTAAGATGTAAGGGATAGTCAACATTGTATTTACAAATGTAATTACAAAAGTTAATTACAGATGTAATTACATACGGGTATTTAGTCAAGCATAAGTACACAGTAAATACATATATTTACACAATAAGTACATTGTAACAAACTATTAATTCCTGTGTAAGTACTAGTTAAGGCCACTTAATATAAAGTGGGACCATTTAGCCAATATTACCAATCTGGAACACCATGATTCTGTACAAACTGTATTACATCTTTTTTGGGATCCTAAAATCAGCCTTAAACAAATTGTATGTGCAAAATGAAGCCTTTAGAATCTGACGAGAAAAAGAAATGAGCACATCACTCAAAATATATAGTCCTTGCATTTACTCTCTAGGTTTGGGATTGATTTCAAAATTCGTATGGTTACTTGTAAGCCATTGCATGGTATGGCTACACAATATCTGTCAGAATTAAAGCATCCATGTATGGACAACTGTAACTCTACACTGCCTGACAAAATCTTGTCCCCTATCCAAGTTTTAGGAACAACAAATAATAACTTGATTTCTAGTTGACCATTTGGTATCAGAAGTGGCTTATATGAAAGGCAAAGGCCTCTAGATCTTGCTTATTTTAGCAAAATAAAATATGATCATACCTTGATTTTTAATTATTTGATTATGACAGTAAGGTGTGACTTTGCTTTTCTGTGAGAATATTGGGTCCCTGTGGGTACAGTGTTTGTGATGATTGAGATGCGTTTCACCAGATGATTCAACAGAAAAATTTAACTTCTGCCACTTTTCCAAATGATCAACTAGAAGTCAAGTTAATATTTGTTGCTCTTAAAACTGACTTTTGTCAGGTAGTGTAGAGTTATTCATTTCTGGATAACTCTACCTCCAACTTGTGTACTACCTTTTTTAATCTATTAAAACATACTTGTTTTATTGACTTACATGTGTTTATTTTATCTAAAATGTATGCTCTGTTTTACATTTAGGTTTTGTTTGCATTCATCTAGATTTATTATCTACATCCCTTTCAGATCTAACTATATAAAATACAGCACTACCTTAAATAAAGCTTGAGTAGTAGGTTTAGTATTAGTATTATTACAGTAAAAGCAGATTTTCCTTATAGGGATAGTTCACTCCCCAATCTTGCTCTGAGACGACAGTGCTAACCGCTGAGCCACAAAAATTAATTTACTCACCATGTACTCACACTGAACTTATGAATTCTGTTGAACACAAAACCAGCTGTTCTAAAGAATGTTTGGGAGGGGGGTTGGGGGGGCAGCTATTGACATCCATCGTATAGGAACGAAAAACTAATATGGAAGTCAGTTACTTTTTTTCCAGTGGTGTAAAGTAACACAATACAAATACTCAAATTACTGTAATTGAGTAGTTTTTCTCAGGAATTGTAATTTACTGAGTAGTTTTAAAAAGGTGTACTTTTACTTTTCCTTAAGTACATTTTTCGTGCAGTATTGGTACTTTTACTCCACTACTTTCTTTCAACCTGCAGTCACTACTTTATTCTTTCTTGTCTATGGGGATTAGAAAGCACCCAACCTAAAATAAACCAAATATCAATGTCTACTGATGTTACAGCTATGATGTTATCTTTATGTTACCACTGTGACGTGTGTCAGATGTTGGATTTTAGTTGCCATATCTGATGAATAAATGTCAGTATTTGACATCAATATGGTTTTAAATATTGGCTCAACGTTGGATTTGGGTCACTTTCTAACACAATCTTAAATCAACCAAATAGCAATGTCATTTGACGTATTGGACATTAAAACAACATTGTCCTTAGACACTGGCTAGACACTGAATTATGGTCATCTGACCTCACAATGTACAGTGTGGATCGAAAGTTTGGGCATCCCAGGTATAATATTGTATTATTGTGCATAAAGAAGCCAAGGAAAGATGGAAAAATATCTGTGACAAAGTAGAGCTTTGTCCCCACTGTGTGAGCAGCACACAGCTCAAACAAATACACGCACACACACTCACACACAGCACACAAACACCCACCGATCGTCATCGCGACTTACCGGTTACCCTGCTGTTGCCAATGTGGGTGCACACACGGACTTTGGATTTTTTGGTATTTGGACACTTTTGTGTGTGTGTGTGTGTGTGTGTATATATATATATATATATATATATATATATATATATATATATATATTCTTCACTGTGGACTGTTTTCACCTGCCAGCACTGTAAATAAAATACTGTGCACAGGAGTGCTATTGTGTACACCATTATTTTTGTGGTCCCACGAACCCAGTTTTCCCCACCAGAGCGAGCTGAGGCCCGCTCTGTCACAATATCCAAAAGGCATCAAATTACAGATTAGACAATCTTTTAATGTCAAAAAAGTTAGATTTTATTTCCTCATTTACACTTTTAAAAAAACAGAAAACAAAAAAATGATTTAATATCTTGTACTGCTCCCTTTGGCAAGTATCACTGCTTGTAAATGCTTTTTGAAGCCGGCCCAAAGTCTTTCAATTCTTGTTGAAGGTATCTATGCCCATTTTTCCTTACAAAACCCTTCTAGTTCTTTGGGATTTCAGGGTTGTCTGTCACGCACTGCTCTTTTAAGGTCTATCCATAGATTTTCAATTATGTTGAGATCAGGAGATTATGAAGGCCATGGCAAAACCTTCAGTTTCAGCCTCTTGATGTAATCCACCATGGATTTTGAGGTATGTTTAGGATCAAAAGTAGAAGCTCATCCACATTCGCTTGTCTATGTTCATTTGCAAAGTTCAAACGCTGATTTTTGTGATTGAGAACCATCCATGACACTGCCAGGTCTCAGCTTTCCAAAGGGGGCAGTGCATGAAGGGTGCCAAGACTTTTGCACCATTTTTTGCTTTCTGTTATTTTGCAAGTGTAAATGATGGAAATAAAATCCAACTTTTTTTTTTTTTACATTTTATAAGAATGTCTAATCTGTAATTTGATGCCTTTTGGAGATTTTTTTAATTTTACCTTATCTTCTTTAAGGTGCCCAGACTTTCGATCCCCACTGTGAATCTAACCTAATATTAACATCTTATGACGTTGTGTGCTTAATGAGCAATATGTAAATGCATCAGTTTTTTACAGCTTAATACTCTCTACTCACTACTCTTGAGTACTTTTGAAAGGTCTACTTTTTACTTATACTTTGAGTAATATTTACAACAGCTACTTTTACTCTACTTACACTAAATTTTTAGGCAAGTAATGGTACTTTCACTTAAGTATGATTTATCTGCACTCTTTCCACCAATAATTTTTTCCGACATTCTTCATATTTTCCTTTCTGTTTAACAGAACACATAAACACAAACAGGTTTGGATCATGAGGTTTGGATTTTCAATCATTGATGAGCAAATGATGACAGAATTTTTAATTTTGTGTGAGCTATTCCTTTATGGTGTGTCTTTAGCATCATTGTTTATGTATTTATCATTTTAAGTAGCGCAGTTAAACAATCTGGTTTCATTCAAAATGCTATGTATATCAATTGATTGCAATCATTGTATCACAATATTTTTATTGGAAAATGTAGGCAGTTCACAGTGGTTTGGAGTGAAGTCCCCAGTCACTCTGAGTGTGAATGGGTTAACTACAATTTGTGAAAACTGATATTATGCTCCCAACCTTGCCATCTGCACATAAATGAGTCTAAACATGATAACTTAAGTGGGACATGTTTGCGGATCACCTTTTTTACATCAACATACTTTATAACCAATCATAGCCTTGCGCCTCAAAACTAGAAGCTAGTGATTGGTTAAATGTGGTTCCAAGAACATAAAAAGATGTTGATGTTCTTGTGTAATATAATGTTGTGTCTTATAAGAGGTCGAGCACCCTCAAAGGATGCTTGCTTCTAGAGAACCTTCCAGCTCTCTCTTTTTCTCTCTCGAACCCTCAAATGCATCTGCTGATGATTGAAAGGTCTTTGCTTTCATTGCAGATGTAAAGTGCACACAGAAAAGCATGCCGGATGAAAGCTTAATTCTGTGCTGCCATTGTAGCATAAGCAATGCACTGTATGATGCATGTACCAGCCTGCAGAAATAAATACAAAACCTCACTGAGAATATTTATAGGATTCTGACTATTCCATATTTCATAAGGGAAAGGACTGTAAGGATCCTCTTCACCTTATATCTGGCCCTGTCATTCCATCTCCACCCTGTTACTTGTCCATTATGTTAAAGGTTTATTTATTCAAACAAAGAATGACAATTATTGTATCATTTACTGACCCTCATGTCGTTCCATACCAGTATGAATGTGTTTTATTACATTTTTATTCTGTGCTCCTTTCCACATATAAAAAACAAAGGTTGCTTCTGCCACCTCTCATTCCATGAGGAACCTATCATACACTTAATATTCTTATATTTACATTGCAGAAAAAGTCATTCATCTTTAAAGAGTAACTTGTTAAAATCATTGAAATTAAGTCTGACTAATGTAGTATCACCTAATATTCAGTGATCAACCTTAGCAAAACTGGACCAAGACTAATATATTTGGTCAAAAACATTCTACTTAACTGAAATAAAATAATACATTCACAATAAATGAAAAAAAAAAAAACTAAAACTTACTTAAACTTATAAGTCACTGAAAAACAAAGTGGAATAAAACGATAATTAGCAAAAATAATAATCACTTTCAGAATTAATAAGCACTCAGGATATGATGGAAAATTTGATTTGCAGCTGTTCAGTAAAGTTACTATATAGATGCACTTGTGCAACCAAACACATCAGACAAACACAAGATTGTATACAGAAATACACTCACTGGCCACTTTATTAAGTACACCTGTCCAGCTGCTCGTTAAAGCAAATTTCTAATCCCCTAATCACATGGCAGCATCTCAGTGCATTTAGGCATGTAGACAAGGCAGGGCAAGGCAAGTTTATTTATATAGCACATTTCATACACAGTGGCAATTCAAAGTGCTTTACATAAACAGGAATAAAAAAAACAAGTTGAGGAACATAAAATGAAGACAATAATTTTTTTTAAAAAACAGATAAAAACAAATTAAAATGAGTTAAAATAGGTTATAAAAGAATGAAAAGAAAACGAAAAACATAATAGTGCAATCTGTCGGACGTAGCACAGTGCTCATACAGTAAAGGCACAGCTAAACAGATGTGTTTTCAGTCTCGATTTGAATCTGCCTAATGTTGGAGCACATCTGATCATTTCTGGAAGCTGATTCCAGCAGCGAGGGGCGTAGTGTCTGAAGGCGGATTCACAATGCTTTGACTGGAACTCTTGGAATTTCTAGTTTATATGATCCTAAAGATCTGAGTGATCTGTTAGGTTTGTATTCAGTGAGCATATCTGTAATGTATTGAGGTCCTTGGCCATTTAGTTATTTATAGACAAGTAATACTTTAAAATCTATTCTGAATGTAACTGGGAGCCAGTGTAGAGACCTGAGGACAGGTGTGATGTGCTCTGATTTCCTGCTTGTGGTCAGAATCCTGGCCGCAGCATTCTGGATGAGCTGCAACTGTCTGACTGTCTTTTTGGGAAGGCCAGTGAGGAGGCCGTTACAGTACTCCACTCTGCTGCTAATAAAAGCATGAACAAGTTTCTCTAAGTCTTCACTGGAAACAAAGCATCTAATTCTTGCAATATTTTTGAGATGATAGTATGCTGATTTACTAACTGCTTTGACATGACTGTTAAAACTCAGATCTGACTCCAGAGTCACTCCAAGATTCTTGACCTTATTTTTCAACCCAAGCTCATTCTGAAAACGTAGTCCCGCGGACGTTTCTGGAAACAGCGGAATACGTCCCGGGGGGTACGTATGGCCGCGTTTTTTTTTCAAGCGAACGCTACGGGGCGGTGTGACGCTGTTCCCTTTTGCGCTTGCCTTACCTCCTTGTGGAGGGCTTCCCCGCTGCAATCCGTTTGTCCACTCAGCTCAGCGCGTACGTCGGCAGGCTCGAGATGCGGAGAGGGGTCGATTACGGCGACCGGTTTCGAGTCCGGGAAAGAGCAGCTCCAGCAATCAGGTAAGACAAAAACAGAATCCCAAAAATTAAGTGAACGGGTTTCGTGACGGGGTGAGAACGCGGCGAAATCTGAAAACGTGGTGGAATAATAAAAATCAGGGCTTTTGTGAACTGTTGCTCGGGTTTAGGGAACCGAGCGGGCGGGCGGGTCGATCGGTAAAATCGGTTGGGTTCGGGGAAGGAGGAGGGCGAGTCGGCCGATTGGCCAGTCGTGCAGTCAATCATCCGGTCAGTCGGCGGCGCAAGAACAAAAACTTCAGCCGTACGTACCCGCCGGGACGTATTCCGCGGTCTCCAAAAACGTCCGCGGGACTACGTTTCCACAATAAGCCCGGGTTGTTATTTTTTGTTGTTTGACCTTTAAAGCCAAGGTACGCATTCACCTTGAGAACCTCATCTCTGTTCCCAAACGCAATCACTTCAGTTTTCTCTTTGTTTAGCTAGAAAATTTTGGAACATCCAATTGTTAATTTCATTAATGCATTGGCAGAGGGTGTCAATGGGGCTGTAGTCATTAGGCAGTAAGGCTAGGTAGATCTGAGTGTCATCAGCATAGCTGTGGTAGGAGATTTGGTTCTTTCTCATTATTTGGCTCAGAGAGAGCATGTAAAGGTTGAACATTTTTTTTGCAAGGTTGAGTATGTAAAGGTTGAACACAAGGTCAAGACAATCTGCTGCAGTTTAAACCGAGCATCGGAATGGGGAAGAAAGGTGATTTAAGTGACTTTGAACGTGTCATGGTTATAGGTGACAGACGGACTGGTCTAAATATTTCAGAAACTGCTGAGCTACTGGAATTTTCATGCACAACCATCTTTAGGGTTTGTAAAGAATGGTCTGAAAAAGAGAAAAAATCCAGTGAGTGGATGATAGAATCAGAATTTGGCATGAATCCATCTTGCCTTGTATCAAGGGTTCAGGCTGGCTGGTGTTGTAATGGTGTGGGGGATATAGTATTGACACACTTTGGGCCTATTGATACCAATTGACCCTCATGTCCATGCAACAGTCTACCTGAGTGTTGTTGCTGACCATGTCCATTCCTTTATGACCACAGTGTAATCTTCTGATAACACCCCATGCCATAATGCGCAAATCATCTGAGACTGGTTTCCTGAACATGACAAGTTCACTGTACTCAAATGGCCTCCACAGTCACCAGGTCTCAATTCAATAAAGCATCTTTTGGATGTGGTGGAACAAAACCAAATGAAATCTGGAACAAAATATACAAATAAATAATAGATAGAAATGTGTTACAAAAAATAGACTATACTTAAACTAACGAAACTATTCATTAAATTAACCACAACAAGAAAGAAAGAAAGAAAGAAAGAAAGAAAGAAAGAAAGAAAGAAAGAAAGAAAGAAAGAAAGAAAGAAAGAAAGAAAGAAAGAAAGAAAGAAAGAAAGAAAGAAAGTTATACTGCTTTAGAATGACATGTGGGTAAATAAATAATATTGTTTTCACACTTTGGTGGACTTTTTGTTTTTTGTTTTTTATTTGTTTGGGTTTTTGCATATTTTATCTTTACCTCCACTCCTTTTTTTTCTGCCTCTGTCTTTTTTCTCATTTGTCTCTCTCTCTGTCCAATCTCTCTGCATTTCTCTCTGTCTCTCTCTCTCTCTCTCCCTGTCTCTCCACTCCCTTCCTGTTGGTTCAGGAGGGTCAGAGTGATCCTGCTCTACAGCAGAGGCTTCAGTTACTCTCCTCTCTCTTGCATCAGGTGAGACATCAAGATTTAAAATTTAGTTGAGTTGGAGAGATTCCTCTTGAATCAAACATAATCCATTCATAATCCTGCCTGAGAGCTTATTTGTGTCTATGTAGTTTATTTTTAATCTACAGTACTGATGGAGACATTGAAAGCAGGACATTATGGGTTTTTAACCAAATCCTTTACCCTGGTTCTGAGCTGTTAGGTTTTCTTTCACTGTTAAAATGCAATCAATAAGTTTTAAATTTTATCAGAAGATGGCACTTGACCTTTAATAAAGGATGTCTGTCCACCGCAAAAGATCTAACTAAGCATTGCATGTCCTATTTTATTTTCATATTTTCATAATTTTATTTGCAGCCTATTATAATTAATATTATAGAGAACAGGAAGGAAATTGCTTTCTAATAATGTTTTATAATATATATATATATATATATATATATATATATATATATATATATATATATATATATATATATATATATATATATATATATATATATATATTATAATAATATATATAAAATAATATATATATATATATATTATTTCAGCAGGGTGTTTTTACACCTCTAGTTTGGAAAAAGTCAGGAAAATGGGTGTGTCTAGCTCTGTTTGGGTAAGAGTGTCGGGGGAGGGGAAGGGGGAAGAATTTGGTACCGCACATCGTATAAGAGAAAAAACCTCTACATTTCTCGGTAACTCAGATGCACTCGGTAGGTCAGAAAGCCGTGTGTGTAGACAATCCTGTCACAAAATGTGGTAAAAATTAAACACGATGGTCGGCAATAATTTGCTTACAGTGTTCACGTGTTTACACTCAGAGAGCAGCATTTACAGCGGATCTTTCAGTCCATAATATTGTAGTGATGTTAACATAAGCCCAGTAATCATTTTGCCTAAGGTCTGTCTTTAAACACTGAAAGAGTACTGCTGACCATACAAACTATAACTTTGCCATCTGAATGAACAAAGAAGGGGCGCTGATCGCACACACTTATAAAATCTGTAGACAGGACAGTCAACACATACTGGAGCTGTGTCTTTTTTTTTAAAGGAGACAAGCAGCAAATCCGGATTTCACCATTTCCAGATAAGAAAAGCTCTCGAGTAAAAATTTTCCATACAAATTTATTTCTGCCGCGCGTTGCATGCACTGATCCACACGTGAGTCCAGCAGCGTTCACATAGAGAGAAAATAAAAACAAAACTCTCACTGCAGCACATCATAAAAGCAACACTGACTACCCGTATCTCCAAACATTTCTTCCCTTTTTGAAACACAGCGTAGTGTCTCTCTGCCATCTGTTTCAGGTACAGTCTTCGAAGCTAGCATGCATATTAATGAAGTTGCAGCGCATACATAATAGAGCGCGCTGATTGGTTTGAACCAAGCCATACTGATGAATCAATGCAACACACTTAGAGACAAAATACTGTACTCCCAGGTACAGACATCCAGTCTACACGCTGGAATACACGCTAAGATCTCATGTCCGTGACGCAGCTTCAAAAATTTGTTTCAAACCAGAAGTGCGAATTTGCACAAAATAATGCAAAAACAACAAATTTTCACTTTTTAGTGAAATATATGTGTCCTAATAGTGTTTTTAGCAGTGTGGGATACGACTGTCAACAGCTTAAAAACTGTGTTTTGGTGTTTCGTGATCCTTTAAAAATATAGCTGCAAACAGCATTTATTGGGGCCTAGCAGCCCAGTGGCCACGTCATAAACAAGCACAACAACAAGCTATTAATTCTAAGAACATAAGAATTCTATAACTTTTTGGCAGCATGTTCTCAGTCAAATTTGGTGGCATCCTGACATAGTATGGTCAATGTCCGTCTAGTTCACACACATTAAGTTTGGTTTCAATACCTAAAACCATTGCAGTGATGCAGCCTCTAATGTCATCAGACAGCATTACATCAAGTTTGCGCATATGCTAAATGACAACAGTTTTATCTATCAACATGAATTCCATAACTGTTGGTCTACATGGTACAAGCTTGATCCGAGTCAAATTTGGTGAAGATTGAACTAAGGGTCTAAGAGGAGTTAAAAAAAGAATGGTTTGAACAAAGTCAAAATGCCGGACAGGAAGTTTGGCTATTTATGGCTTAATTGGTATTTGTGTTGTCGGCATGACCCAATGAATAATTTAATTAATCAAAAAAAGCATATGCAATCAAAAGTTATTACCAAAAGTAAGTTTCATTAATAATAGCTAATGAATGTCTTATAACTCTTGACCCATGGGTGGCACTATCACCAAGTATTTTATGGAGTTAACTTGTTAACTAAGGTTTAGCGGCAGAACCATGCCTCACTTTGTCTCCTTAAACAATCACCTACTCCCTTAAACTTATTTAAGGAAGACCATGCCTCTAGCACTGTTCTTCTCGTTCGTTTGAAACAACCCTCCCTCCTTTCATTTCCTCGCTTCCTATTCACAATCCTATAACCCTCTTCGCTCCTAAATGTAGGTTGAATCGGGGTGTTCAATCACTCTGCCAAACTATTACAGAGACAGTACCCCCACTCTGAGTTTCTGGGCATAGTAGGACGCCCAATCCCATCATCCTCTTACTCCCCTTTCCCTTCATTCCACTGTTCTCTTACCATCCCTTTCATCCCTACTGTAAAGTCTAGCTCAAAGTGTGGCATGGTCCATGCTAGTGAAATAAAATTTGGTGCAAATCAGCCAAACATTGTAGGAGGAGATCAAAAAGTTAAGGTCAGATGGCGGACAGGAAGTTAAGTTAATTAAGGCATAATTGGGATTGATATTCTCAGGACAACCCAAGGAATGTATCAAGAAAAGTTTTATAACAATTAGGAAAATTAGTCGAAAGTTATTAGCTTTTTTAGAAATTGTTATAAGGTTTGACCAAAAGGTGGCGCTTTGACAAAACTTTTTCCGAAATGACTGACCTGGGAAAACCAGACATCATTCGACTCGGCATGCTCTGCCGGATGTAAATATGTAATTTTGGACAAAAGGTTAAGAAGTTATAAGCAAAAAAAGCCAATTTTTGCTTATAAGGAGATATCCCCTTAAGTCAATTTCTGCAAGTTCTAGGTTAAATTTGTTCGCAAGTTAGTCACAAACAGTTAGTCTAATCAAGTCGCATTTATTAACTCAGATTCAATAGTCTGTAGATCTTGTGATTCAATTTTGGGGAAAATTTTTTAAAAAGCGCCTAGGATGAGTTTGTTCAAGCAGGTTTTTACAAAAAATTAAAAATAGGGAAAAAATTTCATGATGGAAAATGACATTATAGGGTGCGTTTGAATCGGCTTGAGCCAAGGAATCACAGAAAATTTTGGTTGACCTATTTGATTTAAAGTTATAACGATAAACATAAGTGAAACTTTAAACAAGTGGTGGTGCTGAAAAGTTTTAGTCAGAGAGTTGTTGTGGTTGAAGATCAGACTGTCAGTCCCTCTATCAGTTTGCCAAATTTTTCACAAGTGCCGCAAACGGTTCATAGGGCTGCCATAGACTCCCATAGAGCAAGAAGAGGAAGCCAGAAGAAAAATAATAAGAACCTTTACTCTTAAACCTTTATGAGTCTCTGTCTTTTGTTGATCACGAACAAATACAAAATAATATTGAAAGACAAAGGGTCCAATATCTCTAAATATTTTCTTTTGTATTTAACAGAAGACAGAAACTCAAATAGGTTTTTTAACAAGTGAGCAAATGAGGACATAATTTTCATTTTTTGGTCAAACAATGGCTTCCATAAGATTTGCACTTTGTACGCTATTTATCTTTTAACATTTGGGCGTTTGGTATTATATTTATCCGATGCTGCAGACTACCTGTTTTTTCTCCGTTTCCTTACTATACACCGTTTCCCCACCCCCCTCACCCAGCTAGCAGCTAGTGGTGAACTGCTAGAGCCACTCATACTCTGAGGGCTGAGTTTGGATCAATTATTTCTGTGATCAAAGCCTAAACCAACCGAACCATTAATTGATTCCTCAAGTATTCATTACTGAATCACAGTCTTTCTTCCTGTCTCTTTCATTCTCACTTTCCCGTCTTGAAAAGTCATTTATCCTCTTCTTATTACCCTCTCTCATGTGTACTTACTGTCTTACAAACACACGCAAGTAAACATGCGCATCTCATATTGATGACCTAGTAGTGTAGATGAACTCTGATCCCATTACACTTTGAAAAAGTTATTGACGATAGTGGATGTGTCATATCCTTTCACAATCTTGGGATGACGTGTGGTCAGATCTAAGTCTGAGAGGTTTTTACGTTCTTAAGTAAGAACATTTTGATCTCTTATAGATTTATTAAATGAATAGTTGGTCGATATTTTTTATGTATTTTTGATGTATTTTATGAATTTTTTTCTTCATGGATCACAGTTTCACAGATAAAATACTTTTTTGTTTGTTTTAATAATGGACTTATTTTTTTAACAAGAGTATGTTGGGGATTGTTAATTCAAAACTGAAAAAAATCATTTACCAACCTTTACTTGATCCAAACCAGTTTGAATTTTTTTCTTCTGCTGAACAAAAATGATATTTTGAAGAAACCTGTAACTGTTGATTTCCTTAGCATTTGTTTCTGATATCTGCTTTTGTGTTCTACAAAATAAACAACCATTTGAGGATAAGTAAATAGCAAAGAAATGTTTTTTTTTTTTTTGTTTTTGGATAAACTACCCCTTAATGGTGTTGTCTTCATTTCAAATTGCCCTCAACAATGTATTTTCACCTCTCAATACCCCTTTCATTAACATATGTCTAGGTCTCTTTTTTTTTTTCTCTCATTGTACACTTGTTCTGTTCATTGATCCAACAGCTGAGCATGACAAGCTATACACCCATGCCTAATTTAGAGGGGATAGCTACATGATTCGCAATTAATTCACATTTGGGTTACTTTTTTATTATATGTTTTCATGGCTTTTATTTAGAAAGGCTACCCTGCAGACACAGGAAGTCAACATGATTTCATATTGACATTGTACTCTAACGTCATGGGGATGTTGTATTTTGTTTGGAAATGAAAATCAGGTTGACGTCAGAACCCAAACTGAGGCCGACCTCAATGTTCAACCTCCAACCTAAAATCAATCTGAAATTAACCATATATTAATGTCTAATCATGTGACACCTTGTCGTTGTGTGGATGTTACCACTATTTCATCCATCAGATATTGGATTTTGGTTACTTTCTAACACAACTTAAAATCAACCAAATATCAACATAATTTGACGTCGTGATTTTATGTCAAAATAATCTTGTCCTTAGATGCTGGCTAGACATTTAATTTTGGTCACCTGATGTCATGACATAAATCTCACCTAATATTAACGTCTTATGATGTTGTGCGTCTGCTGTGTATAAGATTTATTTATCAGTGGTTTTCTCTGTTTCATGTATTCTCTGGTGGATGTGGAGCAGAAGTACTCTGCTGCGTCTTTATGCAGCATCACCACAGAGGTTCTGAAGGTCCTAAACGCCACAGAGGATTTGCTTGGTGAAGCAGAATGCAAAGTTTATGATCCCTCTCCAGCTGGCACACACATATGCTCAGGTCCTGTCAACAAGAAGCTGGACCATCAACTTACTAAGATGGAGGAAAATGTAAGGTTTCCTGTTCCCAGCACATTACAATATCAACAGGAAATTCCAATATCAATCTGCAAGGGAAACTGATTAATTTAGCTTAATATGAAGCATTTAACAGATTTATAAGGAATTAAATTTCTTTTAAGATTTATACGGAATTAAAACACTGTACATCTAATCATTTGAACAACCATGAACTCTTCAACAAATTTAAAAGGGTTACTTCACCCCAAAAAACAAAATTTCTGTCAAATACTCACCCTCATTTCTTCATTTTCGAAGGACAAATTAAGATAAAATCTTAGCACTCTCTTACCTTCCATAAACAGAAACAGTCATGAGACCTTCTATGTCCAGATAATGAACCAAAAACATTGTCAAAACAGTTCAAGTGACTTCAATAGTTCAATTATAATCATAAAGTGTTCTTACTGTACTTCAGGTTAATTTCCAGCTGTATACTTTCCTATTATACTTTATGGGTTGATTTTCAACTGTTGTTACTTGAAAAGTAGCATTTAGATCATAACATACATACATACATACATACATACATACATACATACATACAGTACATACACATGCATGCATACAGTGAGGACAGAAAGTGTTCAGACCCCCTTAAATGTTTCACTCTTTATTGTATTTTGGTATGCTGTATTGTTATATATAAGTTCATTTTTCCCTATTAACGTACACAGCACCCATATTGATAGAAAAACACAGAATTGTTGACATTTTTGCAGATTTATTAAAATAGAAAAACTGAAATATCACATGGTCCTAAGTATTCAGACACTTTTCTGTGACACTCATATATTTAACTCCATTTCTTTTGATCATCCTTGAGATGGTTCCACACCTTCATTTGATTTCAGCTGTGTTTGATTGTACTGACTGAACTTGAATAGGAAAGCCACACTCCTGTCTATATAAGACCTTACAGGTAACAATGCATGTCAAAGCAAATGAGAATCATGAGGTCAAAGGAACTGCCTGTAAAACTTAGAGACAGAATTGTGGCAAGGCACAGATCTGGTCAAGGTTACAAAATTTTTTTGCTGCACTTAAGGTTCCTAAGAGCACTGTGGCCTCCATGATCGTTAAAGGAAAGACATTTGGGATGACCAGAACTCTTCCTAGAACTGGCCGTCTGGTTTGTGTGGAGAAACCAGGCACTGCTCATTACCTGTCCAATTCAGTCCCAACAGTGAAGCATAGTGGTGGCAGCATCATGCTGTGGGGGTGTTTTTCAGCTGCAGGTAAAGGACGACTGGTTGCAATTGAGGGAGAGATTAATGTGGCCAAGTGCAGGAATATTCTGAACAAAAACCTTCTCTAGAGTGGTCAAGACCTTAAACTGGGCTAAAGGTTTACTTTCCAACAAGACAATGACCCTAAGCAATGACAATGACAGCTAAAACAATAAAGGAGTGCCTTCACAACAAATCTGTGACTGTTCTTGAATGGCCCAGCCATAGCCCTGACTTAAACCTAGTTGACGACCTCTGGAGAGACCTAAAAATGGCTGTCCACCAATAATTACCATCCAACCTGAACTTGTTGCATCTTTTCCAAAAAGACTCAATGGCTATATTTTATCAAAGGGGTACTTCAACTAAATACTGAGCTAAGGATCTGAATACAGGATCATGTAATATTTTTTTTTTCTTTTTAATAAATCAGTAATAATGTCAACAATTCTGTGTTTTTCTGTTAATATGGGGTGCTGTGTGTATATTAATTAAGAAAAACTTAATGATAAATGAATAAGGATTAAATTATTTTAGCAAATGGCTGCAATGTAACAAAGAGTGAAAATTTTAAGGGGGTCTGAACATTTTATGTACCCACTGTAGATAGTTGAATAAATGTAAAACCATGAAATATGTGATTTACCAAAAGATGGCTGTAATTCACTATTGACGTGTGTAATCTTGTAAGACAATGTTGTGCTGCTCTAGATCAGGGGTTCCCAAACTTTTCAGCCCGCAACCCCCAAAATAACAATGCCAGTGACTCGCGACCCCCAATATCCTCTGAGGTGGTTATAAATACAGAAACCGTGCATGCAATGACGCAGACACACAATAAATTTTTTTTAACGTGTGTCAGTGCTTTAAATGTGCCAGAAAGTATAACCTGGTGTTATAAAATCAAAATGCATCTGACGCTATTGCTGTCTTTAATATAATGTAATTACCCCAGGGGTCGCAATGCAATAGAACTAGTAACTATAAGCTACTATAGTAACTATATAGTATATAGTAACTATAAATGACTATTTTTATTTTCAGTATAGTTATGGATAAAATATGTTAATTCTTATGGTTTAATAAATATAAATAGATTTTTGGAAATCACCAGGCGACCCCCCTTCATTGCCCCGCAACCCCTCGGGGGGTCCCGACCCCCACTTTGAGAACCACTGCTCTAGATTACTGCAGGTTTACTAAATGAAATGTAGCTGTTGTCGAGCTATTCCACTACCTGTTTATCCTTTTATGCTGGAAAAAGTTACAGTGTGTCATAAGTAGCTGAGCTACGGTCAAGCTACTAAAAATATAGCTAAGCTAGTAGCTTCAGATTCAGATCTTACTTCAATTAACTTGTTCTCTATGTACAGGTGTATTTGGCAGCAGGGGCTGTGTACAGCCTAGAGGGGGCGCTGGGTGACTTAGAAGAATGTGCACGCAGCATCAGCAGCTCCACCACAGACACAGAACTAGCCTTCTTGGAAGACCAGGTTGCCACTGCTGCTGCTCAGGTGCAGCAGTCAGAGCTCCAGGTACATGTTTGCAGCGTAATGCAGAGCAGTCCTACTTTTGGTTTTGCTTTCGCAATATAGTATTAGAATTTTTCAGGTGCAAATTTTCATGTGTCTTTGTTCTTGGCAGATATCAGATATTGAGGCAAGAATATCCGCTCTCAAAACTGCAGGTCTGAATGTATCTGCGTGTACACGTTTTTCCAAGTACAAATCTAAACCTATGGTGAGTTTCAGTCTATTTAGAGACAAGCAGGATACATCTACATGGAATCAATTTGGCTCATGCTATTTGTGATTTTTTTTTTCCTGTCAGCCACAAACACTAGACTCTTCTCGCCATCAGAGGAGAAAGCTACCTGCTCCTCCTCTCAGAACCATGTTATCAGGTATGAATATATACTAACATTAATTAGTTTAAAGGATTAATTAATTATTTAGATTTACAGTCCACACATTTTGTCTGCTAGAATCCATGTCTCCTGTAGCCCTGTGCTAATTTTGTGAGTGGAACAGACCACTAAAGACATCCCACCTTTCTGTATTTAGTTAAAATTTGGCCTGTCAAAACGTTATACCAGGTTACTTATCAATAAAATGATCCATCATCATTTTCATGTATCCTATAAATGATGTCTGATCAGTTGCATTACATGTTTGAAGTGCTGTTGAGTTGTATGAGATATGTGCTTGTCATTTGTACATTACATTTGCTTTTTATGTAATCTTCTTGCTAAAATATGCTGAGATCGGAACAGTTACTAAAGTAACCCTTATTCCTTGAGGGGGGAATGGAAATGCTATGTTGAAAATTCCACTATGGGGATTTGGTCATAAGCCAATCATCAGAAAAAGTAATAAAATGGGACAATGAAATGCCAATGAGTTGGCAGTGTCAGGATGCACAGCTGGCATCAATTATGAATGATGTATGATACATCAAAAATGTATGGAATACACCACAGCGATTGAACCTTTCTACTAGTGAGAGGTTTGTCAGGCTACAGTGTGAGCACATATGTCACATTTTCAACCTGTCGCTTAACCTAGCAGCTGTGCCTACATGCTTTAAAACCACCTCTATTGTGCCAGTGCCGAAACACTCCAGCCCAACATGCCTAAATGACTATCGCCCTGTAGCACTCACACCCATCATCATAAAGTGCTTTGAGCGGTTGGTCCTGGTACATCTGAAAGACTCTCTGCCATCCACTGGACCCAAATCAGTTTGCCTAACGTGGCAACAGGAGCACAGAAGATGCAGTCTCTATAGCACTGCACTCTGTACTCACACACCTGGACAATAAAAACACTTATGCACGAATGCTGTTTGTTGACTTCAGCTCAGCATTGAACACTGTCATGCCCTATAAGTTTATGATCAAACTTAGAGACCTGGATATCGACACGTCTCTGCAACTGGGTTATGTACTCAATGTTAGATCAGGCCACATCTGCTCCACCACCGTCACACTCAACATTGGTGTACCACAGGGCTGTGTGCTGAGCCCCTTCCTCTACTCCTTTTTTACCATCGACTGTAGGCCTCTGAACAGATCCAACACCATCATCAAATTTGCTGATGACACCACAGTGATTGGTCTAATCAGCAACAATGATGAGACTGCCTACAGGGAGAAGATACAGCATCTGGCCACTTGGTGCACCAACAATAAGCTGCTCCTCAACACCAACAAGACCAGGGAGCTCATTGTAGACTTCAGGAAGGGACAAACTGGCTCACATGATCCCATCCACATCGATGGGATGGTCGTTGAGCCTGTCTCATTTTTTAAGTTCCTGGGGTACTCTAGACCGGAAGAAGCAGCCTGCTTTCTTGTTCTCTCTCTCTGTGAAAAACACTCGCTGAAACCCTCAAAAGACTCTCTCAGAATCTTCTTAAAGGCTCTGAAAGCAAAAAACATGCCTCTGCGTTGCGCTGTCTTTACAAAATACTGATTGTGATTGATGCCAGCTGTGCACGCTTACACTGCCAAGTCATTGACATTTCATTGTCCTGTTTTATTACTCTTTGAGATGATTGGCTTCTGACAAAATCCCCATAGTGGAAGTTTCTACATAGCATTGAAATTCCCCTTACAATGAGGAACTAAGAATGCTAAATTGAATAAATTGAATTGTGATTGAATATTAAATGGAAATAGTAAATGACAAAATTTATAGTTAACCATTTAATAACTTTTTGAATGTGCTCTGACATTACAGTATGTTAGATTTGTCAGTTAATTGTTCTGTGTGAGACAGTTCATGTCAAACTGGTACACAAAATGTGTCTTTTGTTGCATGGGTGTATTTGTGAAAATAGTTGAAAACACATTGGACTCTATTTTAATGATCTAAGCGCATAGTCTAAAGCAAATTGTGCACAAGCTCTAATCCACTTTTGCTATTTTAAGGATGGAAAAAATGATCTGCCAGCACATAGTCTTAAAGGGTTGTCTATATTCTCCTAATGAGTTATGAATGTGCTTTGGCCATAACATGCATTAAACTAATTAGAGTCTCATCTCTTATTCTCTTAAAAATTCAGTTGGGTTGTGCCATGGCGCATTCGCTATTTACATGGTGGAATATGTAAGCATAAAATCTGAATGCTTCACTAGCCAGAAAACAAACAAAAAAAAAAACATCCTATTCTTTTGCCTCATATGGTGATGCATACATTTTCAAATTCTGAAAGATGGACAAATATAAACTTGTTTACTTTAGACCAGCTTTTAGTTGGTCAACGGCGTGGTTGCCGTGGTATTTCAGTTTCTCAAAATAGCACCATGGCAACAATATGCCGTAACACACCTTGTTTTTAGAACAACACACATATAATTCCACAAAGTGACGCAAATGCGGATTTACTATTTGCACAATGTGGCACAAATTGTGAAAATGAGGGTTGTGCTGGTCTGAAAATAGCAACAAATCATGCCATACACGTTTTGCGCCTTATTGCACCAGGTGTATGATAGGATCTATAGCCTCTATGCGGTATTTGCTGATTCCAGTGGTTATAACTTAAACATCGATTTTACTTTTTTTTTTATTACAAACATACACTGTTTTAAAAACTTTTTTTGAGGTGCAGCTGATCACAGAGAGTTGGAACAGATCTTTTAATCCCTGTTTTTTTGCGAATTCTGTTTTGATGACATGTGTAAACCCATTACTATAAAGACATGTTAATACATGCCTTTCAGTCAATTCGGTGGGCAGGGAAAAATGCACACGTATGTGATGTTGCAATTGACCTAAAAATTGGATCATCTGTTAACATCGGGAAATTTTAAATAAGAGATTTGTTGTGTTTATACCTTTCCGATATGATAGTGGACACACTATACCTAAACACAGTTCTGTCTAAACAAAATTTAGTTTCCAAAATTTGATTTTCCATCATACCTGTTGGTGCCTTTTAGAAACAATTGCATTTTGTGTAGATATTTTGTTTATTTCCCACTGTAAATATATAAAAACTTATTTTTATTGTAAATACATTGCTAATAACGTATTTTGAACTTTAAATGCAATTAGTTTTATTTTTTGAACCATCAGATTCCAGATTTTCTCTGCCAAAAATTGACCGATCCAAACAATTTATTCAGCTTTCAGGCAATGTATAAATCTCAATTTCCAAATATTGACCCATATGACTTATATTTTGGTCCAGAATCACATTTTTTATTTATGAATTTTCCACAATCAGCAATCAATGAGCAAAAATACACAAACTGGATCAGAATTCATACATTTAATAATTGACTGGCATTATGGTTTTACTTTTGTTTTTGTTTTGTTTTGTTTTTTGGAGGGGGGGGGTCTAGTCGTGTCTAACTGCCAGTTTTAAGCTCTATATATGAAATAATGTTTTATAGTACAATAGACGCATTAGACTTAGGGCTCTATTTTGATGATCCATGGGCAAAGCGCAGAGCACAAAAGCAATTGGAGCATGTCGGAATCCATTTTGCTAATTTAAGAACGGAATTTAAGAAGAGCTTTGCGCCACGGCGCATGGTCTAAAAGGGTTGAGCTTATTTTTTTAATGAGTTATATGTGTGTCTAAATAATAAACTAATCGCATCTCCCATTCCCTCTAAGAGTCAGTTGCATTGCGCTATAGTGCATTTGCTATTTACATGACTGACTTTGTAAGTGGAAAAGTGAAATTTCACTAGCAAGAAAACAGTTAAAAAGAGCATCTGCAGCGTGAGAATGAGAGATAAGGCCTTCTCATTATCTACTTTCACTTTCGCTCACGTGTATAGGGAAACCTTGTACACACAGACATCAATTAGCCTATAAATAATTAATTTTGTTTGTTAAGTGCAAATATTTGTTTCAAAACTATTTCTTAATTCAGTTCTAATTTACAAGAAACGAATAAATGAGCAATAATGACAAAGTGTGTTCAAACAACTGAGTTATATCCAAATACACATGCTATGCCCCATATGGTCCTTAACCTGACAGGTGGGCAAATCTAAACTTGTTTTTAATGCAAGAAATATACATATGCATATAATAAATAATACTGCTAATAATAATAACAATATACAAAAGCATTGTTAAGCAAATTGTTATGAATAAATTGAAAAAGCCCTTCGAGATAAATAGGGCATGACAGTTTGGTTTTTATATTTATGTAGGCTTGAAAATAATATGTTTTGGAATATTTTAATCCATTATATTTTTATCATATATATAAAACGACTCTTGTGCCAAGCTGAAACTAGCAAACAACTATTGCGTCGCGCCTTGCGCCGCATTGCGCCGGGTGTATGATAGAGCCCTTAGTGTTTTAAAAATGAATAGTTTTAATGTTGGATTTAGTTTTTTTTTTTTTTTTTGCTTGTGGCTCGCCAATAGTTGAACTTGCTCTAATACATAAAATAAATGTTTAATAATGTGAAATAAGTGTAAAATAAGCTTGGCCATGGTTTATATGGGGAGAAAAGTCTGTTGAAGGTAGTTCCTCATAGTTCTTGATGTGAGCATGCCGTCTTTCACGAATCTCAACCCAATTATCTGTGTGTGTGACAACTTTATACCAGTTACAACAAAGGATATAACACTGCTTTGACCTCCCTTGGAGATTCTAGATTGCATACACATGACAGCTGATATCCCACAGGATTTCACACCTACAAACAGCTGTATGTGCCATTTGGTTTACACCAATCAGTCTGTATGGGTCAAGCATCTGTATGGACTATTTTGTCCACATCTTTTCACCAAAATCATGCACAAAATCTTTAGGAAACTATATTATCCTTCACCTAGTCTACCATAGTTCATATGGATATTATCACTTTCTCTACACCTTCATACCTCAATGGAGTAAAGAACATTTTCAGAAACACAGAAGGATAAATCACGTCTTCCTCTGTGTGCTTTATCTGTGATCACATGGTATGAACCTGCTAACATCCTCAAGGCTACAATTTCATGTGGTTCAGCAAATAAGCACCTTTTTCTTCCTCTGACGAAGAAAGGGGGGGGGGGTGGGGGGTTGGGGGGGCATCTATTTTCACACTAACTGACATTACACATTTTGATTTGAAAAGAAAGGTGAAATGAGCAACCAGTGAAAAGGTGCAAGACTTAATGTACCATGTAGAGACACTGGAAAAAGAAAAAAAGAGTCCATTAGAGAAGAAACCCAGATTCGGCCAGTAGTATTATCTCTGTTCCTTCTTCGTCTTCCCTGCTTAATCTTCCTACTAATTAGCAGGGTTTCAGTTTAGCGCTGTCCATTGATAAGGCTATGACTCATCTTGATTGCTTTATTTCACATTAGCTGTGGATTGAAAGGACAAATATACATATTCTAGTTCAGGTTGTTAGTCACACAAACCAACCAAATAAGGAGACCGTAACAGCTTGTACGAGGCCTGAAGTGGTTCTTTAGCCAGCGTTGCACATATTATCATTGTTTGCTCTTTTTTACCCAAAACTCTTAAGTGCTGTACAGCAAAATCTGTCATCAAAATGTATGTACTTTATATGTGGACAATAATCTGTACATTAAAGGCTTAGGTCATCAAGAATTTAAGGGATAGTTCACTTAAAAAGAAAATCCCTGTCACAATTTACTCACCTTTTTCTTGTTTAAAACCTACAGTATTTAGTTCTCTTTATTCTGTTGAACGCAAAAGAAGATTGCTTGTTGATGATACCCATTAAATTCCATAGTATTTCATTAGCCTATTATGGAAGGCAACATAAAGGAGAGTAAATGGTGAGATAATTTTCACTTTCGGTGTACTATCACGAAATCACAACTTACAGCTCACTGCACTTAAATGTATTATTATTTTCTTTATTGTTATCACCAAAGCTTATTTAAAACAAAAAATACTGTAAAAGGTGTAATTATGTAAAAAACTATAATAATAAAAAAATATATATAGTTGATTATTATTTTAAATTTGAGATTATTAATTTAATGTTAAACCTAGGGCTCTATCATACACTACACTCTCAGAATCAAAGGTACACTGTCACTGGGGTGGTACCTTTTCAAAAGATACACGTTTGTACTTAAAGGGTACATATTGGTACCTCAAAAGTATTTATTAGTACCTAAATAATTTAAAAGGAACACTTTTGTACCTTTTAGGTACTAATATGTCCTCTTGAGGTATTAATATGGACCTTTTAGGCACAAATTTGTTCCTCTTAAACAGGTACCAACCCAGTGACAGCTCACATACCTTTATTTCTAAGAGTGTAGGTGCAATGCGGCAGCAGGCGTGATTCAAGGATTAGTTGCTTATTTTAACCTTTTTCAAGTGTTATTTTTTCATCCTGCACAACATTATTATATAGCAAATATACTTTTGCACATTAGTGTTTCTATGCATGTGCTGCACTGAAAATGAAGTATTCTAGTGGCTTATTTATAATTCTGCAGCAAGTGCGTGTGTATGGCCCTCCCTCTGGCCAATGCTGACTGCACCTCTCAAAAAAGTGCCTACATGTGGCAACGACGCGCAACTCAAGCTCTGTGATTGGTCGGCTTGGTAGTGCTGATGAGTGTGTGCAGGGGTGAGAGCTACGCAAACCCGTTAGAGCAAGTGTTTGCAACTGTCGAGTCCTGTGAAGGAGCTCCAGAACATTTGTTTTGTGTTTAGCTTATGATTAAACTTGTTGCCCATCCACTGGTTCCCGCTTTAGAATGAGTGAGTTCAGCTACCTGCACATTAAGGTAGCATTCAGAAAAAACAAAACACCCACAAAGAAAAACAACAGAGAGGAACATAAAAACCTCACATGAAAACCAGCTAGCGTTTCAGAAGTGTTATTGCAGAGCAACACAAACAGCATGCAGAAGTATAATGGTCCCTTTCCGATGACTGGTATAGTACGGTACGGTACAGGTCGGTACGGGTCACCTTTATGTTTAAAATAAACATAATAAACTCACACGAATGCATGTTCTCCCTGCATTCGTGTGAGTTTCCTCCGGGTGCTCCAGTTTTCCCCACAGTCTAAAGACATGTGATACAGGTGAATTGGGTTGGCTAATTGTATGTTTGTGCGCGAATGAGTGTGTAAGGCTTTCCTAGTGATGGGTTGCAGCTGGAAGGACATCCGCTGCGTAAAACATATGCTGTAAAAGTTGGCGGTTAATTCTGCTGTGGCGACACCAGATTAAGAAGGTGAATGTCTTCATAGTTTGCATAGAAAAGACCCAGCTTCCAACCCAACTTTCAGAATAAATTAACGATGATATTTTTTTATTGCATGATAAGCGTCTCGTGTTAATGCAGCATGTTAACACTGACAATGGCCCAGCACTAATTTTTATATGTTTTATGTTTGGTAAAATAATTTCTAATTGCATCTTTAGTGATTTTTCGACTAATTATGCTGTCTTGTCCTAGGTGGATTTAGAGGTTTTTGCTAAAAAAGCACAAGTGAATTCAGCTGTGTTTGACGCCAAAGAAAATCTACCTTGTTAAAAACCAAAGAATTGTGTAAAAGTGACATTTTTGGAAAAAAACGGCTATTTTATTTACTAGCTAATAACATTATCATTAGCTATAAAATAAAACTTCTGAACCTAATTATAGGAGCCTGATAGAAAATTCTTGTTTTCAAAAAAAGTGGTCTGATGGATTTAGAGGATTTTGCATCTGAACTCTTCAAATATTTTTCATATTATAAATGCATTTTACCTCCTATTAGGATTTTTACAGGAACAGTTTCTTCAATCAAATTGATGAATTGATGAATGAATTAACTAAATAAAGGTGACCTAAATAAAAGTACATTTCAATATAGGCTAAGAGAGATAAATGTTAAACATAAAAGCTCATCACTGCAAAATATTATACTGAGACTATATTTACAGTTATTTCCCTGTGTTGAATAAAATGAAATGTTCTCTAAAGGTGTTCTGATTTTCATTTGCACAGAAAAGGAAGTCAAATCTGAGTCACAGATGAGATACGTAAGGCCATGGCAAGAGGATGTATGACTCTGTGATCCTCTAATAAGCTGTGTGGCTCCACATCACTCTGCTTCTGAATGCTAGGACCATCAGGCTGTTCCACGCTAGTGCCTTGCTCCAACTTCTGGTCCTCCAATTTGATTGGCACTAATGACTGATCACAAACCGTGTTGGGTTGATCTCACTTCTTACCCATAGAACTTTACCAAACCTTGGAACACCTCCAGTAACCAGGGGATTCAATTATTTCTCTCTGCCTTAATGGAGACCAAACTCCTACAACAAAGATCACAGAGGGTTGTAATTGTAGATTTAAATCGATGTAATTACTTGTATGTGTAACTGATGCACAGTAGTAAATGTTAACAATCTGGGACGTCACCTCCTGTTCTGTTTTTTTATGTTTGCTGGGTCGTGTATATGTTTGAAATCTGTATGTTAGATATGTTACTAAAGAAAACCTTGTGTTTATTTTCGCAAAAAGAGGCTGGAGCACATTCGGTAAAAGTCTTAAATGTGTGAAGTGTCAGAAAGTACACACTAAATACCTGCAGGACCTGTTTGATGTCACGTTTCTATTCTTTTCAAATATGGCACAAATATCTCAGGCTTCTTTTTTTCTGAAGGTCATTGTTTACTTAAAGGTGTATTCAACGTCTACAACAACTGTGAAATTCATCATGAGTTCATTTTTATTTTGTTAAAAAAATGTAAAGAAAAAGAAAGGAATAAAGGTGTGGCACCGTGGCTCAATAGTTAGCACTGCCACCTCACAGCAAGAAGGCCGCTGGTTTGAGTCCCAGGTGGACTAGTAGGCATTTCTGTGTGGAGTTTGGATGTTTTCTCCCTGTTCGTGTAGGTTTTCTCCAGGTGCTCCAGTTTCCCCCACAGCTCAAAGACATGCACTTTAAATAAATATGAGTGGCATCCGCTGTGTGAAACATATGCTGGAATAGTTGGCGGTTCATTCTGCTGTGGCGACCCCTGACAAATAAGGGATTAAGCTAAAGGAAAATGAATGAATAAAGATAGATTATTATATGAAAGCACTTAACCACCCTGCCATATGAGGAGGTTAAAAGTGTGCCGCAATGAATTCTACACCCTTGTATTTAAACCAACCTCATATGTCTGATGATCTTTTGAAAGCATCAGATCACTGCCATCTCAGTAAACACTTCATACATAATTTGTTCTTTATTGCCTTTATTGTATGCATTTTAAGTTACAATCCACTTAACAGTGTATAGCTGAAATGATCATTATTTGAAATTCTATTACAATCAGTATTGTTTCTTAAGTGCAAATTGTTGTGCAGTTGAAAACCCTTGGGGATAGTTGTTATAACCATTATGGTACTATAGCTCAGTGTTAAACCTGCATGCTTGTTAAAAGACAATAGACCCTTTTCACGTTTCTGGGTTTCTCAGTAGAAGGCATCATAGTTGGGTAAACTTACAGCTCAGTGAATGGGAGAGTACAACAAATGACTTTTTACAATCCTATTTACTGAAATACTCCACAATGGTGTTATCAAGACTTTCCTGAAAAAGGAAAAAAAAAATGTGTGAGACTGATGACGGCAGCCAGACGAAAGAATAATGTCAGATTTATTCTCAGACCCATTGACACTGCATTAGAAACACCTCACACAAGCAGCAATTCGTCTTTTGTAATTTGATGCAAAGATGAAATAATACAATCATAAATTCATATAAATGTTCATAGGTTTTTTTTTATCAAAATATTAAAAACTTTTAAAGATTTAGGATTATGATGGCCATTGAACACATTAATACAGTCTTGTGAAAAGGGTCCATAATCAAAAAGCCATACAAACAATGTGTTTGATCACAACAGTATGTTCCTACAGAGATAATCATCATATGTATTATAATTCCAACAGGTATGGATCGCTGTACCAGAATGCAAATCGCATAAGCTTAAGGGGTAGTTCACCCAAAAATAAAAATTGCCATCCCTCAAGTGATTTTAAACCTTTAAGTGTTTCTTTTTTCAATTGACAACTAAGAAAGATATTTTTAAATTTGGAAACCTGAAAAAACAAATACTATGGAAGTCAATGAGGTTTCCAGCATTTTCCAAAATAAGTTTTTATGACAACCACAGTGTAAGGGCCAGTCTCAATTCTGTTTTACCACTGAAGGCTTTTATCATGTTATTATAATAATAATGTGGCAATAAGCTCCTAACTATACTGTGTTTGTTTACACCGTGGACAAATTCAAAATGTAAACACACGAAAACAACATTAACATTATAGCAGACACTGTAAAAAGCTCATTCCCAACCACTAGACTTTTCTGACAGGGTATTCGATTGTCATGGAGTGACAGAATGTTGTGGGACTACTATACAGGTGTTATTATTAGTGATTCTAGATAGATATAGATAGGTTTTTATTTTAGCATTTTATTTTAAAGCATGACAGTAAAACAGAAACGCGATGTGTTTATGTTATGAATGACGTTATGAATGTATTAAAACATGTGCTTGTTGTAAAAATTTGAAATAATGACAAAAATACTTATTTGTGCATCTCCTGACTTCCGTGAAAAGCCTTACTGTCATTTTTAGATGGTGTATTCTGGGAAATTTTCTTACCCTTTGGTTTTGAGTGTGGTCCTTGTAAATCTCAGTTTCAAGGGCTAGCTAGCCCTTCCACCTAGCCCTATGTCTGTAAGCTACAGAGAATTGGGACAACCCTTCCATTTCACATGAACGTGCAAAACGAGCGGTAGGTGGAAAGGGCAAGGGCTAAGGCAGGGGTGTCCAAACTCAATCCTGGAGGGCCGGTCTCCTGCAGATTTTAGCTCCAACTTGCCTCAACACACCTGCAAAGATGTTTCTAGAAAGCCTAGTAAGAGCTTGATTAGCTAGCCCAGGATTGTCTGATTGGGGTTGGAACTAAACTTTGCAGGACACCGGCGCTCCAGGACTGAGTTTGGACATGCCTGGGCTAAGGGGTAGCATTGGGATTGGGCCTAAATAATGACATAATTTTTAGTTTTGGGTGAACTATCCCCTGTAAATGTATTATTGGGCAAGATTTATAGTGGTAAGCCAGGGGCTCTCTTTGAATACATTTAAGGAATAATTTATGAATAATTTAAGAATATTTTTTGCAGGCATGTCTATATTTTATGTACAACTGTGATATAGAAATACTGCATCATATTGTCTGTGCTGCATAGTGAGTAGTCAGATCAAGGAAAGCTGCGGTCACGCTGGACTTTTCCCCCATAGACTTTCATTCATACGCACGTGAATGGGTCAGACCGGAAACGTAAGCTCGTGCAACAAGTTTCGCAATTCACTGCGTTGCAAAGTTCAAGCATGGTGAACTCTGACCTGCAAAATCACATCACTTGACTGCGTGAGACAAATCGATGATCAAAACTTGACCTCTCTGGACAGAAAATTTTAAATATGGACCAATCGCTTGCTTTTTTAAATGTCTGATTACTACAGTATTTTCAAACTCTAGTGTGACCGCAGCTTAAGTTTGATATTTTTAGTTACCTTTAAATATTCCACAGAACTGTCTTCTTGTTTTGAGTCAATAGAGAATAAATTAGTATGTTAAGATTCCATTTGAACCATACTTTGCCTTCTTCATTCTCTTCTCTACAAAGGAGCTATTCAGCTTTCATACTATCAAACGGGTCCTGCTCCTCGTTGTTGTCTATGGCAATGTCTGTGTATAGAAGCATGCATCACTTTGTTTCTAATAGATGTTAAGCAGAAAAAAAGTCCCATGAAAAGCACAGTCCTAAAATTTGAATTGTCTTACAGTGTCATGTATTTTTCTAATTGAATAGTCTAATGCATATTTACATATGAATGAAATGTTATTCGGATATCAAAGACTCTTAACTGTTTTTTGGGGGTTGTCATGAATGAAAGGGCATTAGCTAATGTCAGAAAACTCTGTGTTTTAAGCAAAGTGTAAAAAAAAAAGAAGAAAATGTTCTGTAGTGAAAAGAAAGCAAAGCCAATGAATTCTCGTGCCAAATTTGTTCTGATACAAACAGTGTTCAAATAAACATGAATAAAGTTTGCATTCCTGAAAAGACTCAGAGATGTTTGCATTTTCTTTGGTGGAACATATTTTAACCATTTTATTTTTATTTAAATGTAAAGCAAAGTTTGCATAATCCATTACAGTGAACTACACCAATAAAAGAAAAACAGATACATTTGTGGATTTATTTATTAATATAGATTGCATTTATAATATGTACAGATATTTGTCACTTGCCAGTCAGTTTACTTGAAATGAATATTGAGGCCCACTTACAAATCTGATATATGGCAGTATTTGCAAATGACATGTATGAAATTTTGATTTCACATATAAATGTGCCATATATGCAGCACATATTTTGGAATATTGCAAAAATGGCCGCTTACAGTCATATACACTACTAATAAAAAATTTGGGGTCAGTAGGATTTTTAAATGTTTTAAAATAAGCTTATTCTGCTTAACAAGGCTGCATTTATTTAATAAAAAAAGTAAAAATTGTGAAATGTTACTTCACTATAAAATAACTGTTCGACGTAGCTTCAATTTTAATTGAATAATTTGTTCCAGTGATTTTAATGATAATTTTTTAGCTTCATCTTCCCAGTCACATTATTATTTCAGTCACACGATCCTTCAGAAATAATTCTCATATTAAGTATTATTCTTTTTCGTATTATTATTATTATTATCATTATTATTATTAATGGTAATATTAATAAAAGCAATAATGACTGGAGTAATCATTTCATCTGAAACTACAGTAAGTAATAAATATTTAATAAATATTTAACAATTTAACTTTTTTTTATATAAATGTCGCCTTGATGAACAGAATAATTTTCTTTAAACTATTAAATAATATTAATTAAAAAATAAATAAATAAAAATTGACCCCAAACTTTTGACCGGTAATGTATGTATGTATGTATAATTATATGTATAATATGTATAATTTTTCTAGGTTGGTAATGCACATTGGTACATATACAGTATTTGCAAATGTATTAGCTATAATTTTCATATATAAAGAGTTTAGATGCAAAAGCCTCTAAATGCCATCTGAATTTGTCTTCCTAAATTTGCATTTTAATCAGCCTCCTATGTTTATGGTCAGCTATTTCACTTTAAAGGCAATGAAAATCTTACAAGTGAAATAACTGGCCATAAATACAGAATCCTGAATTTTTTTTAAATTTTCGTAGAAAATTTATTATTTTTCCCCAATTTCTGTTACACGGATAGAAGGGTTTTTTCAACACATTTCTAAACAAAATAGTTTTAATAACTCATTTCTAATAACTGATTTATTTGATATTTTCCATGATAACAGTACATAATATTTTACTAGATATTTTTCAAGACACTTCTATACAGCTTAGTGACATTCAAAGACTTAACTAGGTTAATTAGGTTAACTAGGCAGGTTAGGTTGTAATTGGATAAATCATTAAACCCATAGGGTAAAACAATCATATATATATAGCTTAAAGGGATTAATAATTTTAACCTTAAAGTAGTTTTTTAAAAAATAAAACTGCTTTTATTCTAGCCAAAATAAAATAAAACTTTCTCCAGAAGAAAAAATATGATCAGACATTCTGTGACAATTTTCTTGCTCTGTAAAACATCATCATATCTATTTTTTAATTCAAAGGGGGGGGGGCTAATAATTCTGACCAGCTCTATATCTGTCATTCCAATGGTTAAAAAACTCCATATGTAAGCACCCATTAATATACATTACAATATTTTTAACAATATTACATATTTTTTATAAATTCCAAATATGAAAGTATTATCTCATATATGTCATTTGCCTGTTTTCCATGTATAATCTTTCCATATGGGGATGCACACAGCCAGGGAGAGAATGAGAAAACTATGATTAGTTATACACACTAATACATTAAAATATTACAGAAAGCAGGTGGCTGTAATCAGTTGCATCACGGTAACCAGTCTGACTCCTCCTGTGCCAGCGCGCTCTGCAAGCTCTCCTTATTCCTGAGTGTGTTCAATAGGAGCTCCAGTGATTTGACCACCGGCTGCAGACCACCACCACTTTGTCTCTTCCCAAACCGTCCAATGGGTCTCACACCTCGTCCCACATACCAGAACGGATCGATCTCTGGACCTTATTGGGACAGGTCAGAGCACATCTTAGTATTACTAGTACATAATTGATGTATAGGTGAAAAAATTTAAAATATTTATGGTTTGAAATCAAAAAAGAATCTGATTGTAGATTCAGTTGAACATGAAATAGATTATTATTTAAATACATTGCAAGTATTTTATGTGCTTGTAATACAGATAGGAAATCAATTAAAACAATGTTATAGTGCTTTTAATAATTGAGCTTCTATTAAAGATTATCTAAAAACATTTTAACACTTAAAACATGATTTTAAAAAAACATTATTTTATTCAGGTCGAAGATTGAATCACCAACGAAGGCAAGGCACGTTTATTTATACACCACATTTCATACACAATGGTGACTCAAAGTGCTTTAACAAGAATAAAAGAAACAAGTAAAAGAAATAAAAACAACAAAGAATAAAAATTATTAAAAACTGATCGAAATTTAAAGGTTTTTAAGGGATGAAGCAATGAAAGATATCAGCTAACTGACTATAATTGTGCAGTTGTGGTTTTATTTGTTTATATTTTTTTAAAGTACTATAAAAAAGTGCTAGTTGGCTAATAGTGCAGTTGGACTCTGTCAAAATATAGATTGTTTAATGTTTTTACAGTAGAATATTTTGTATTTACATTAAGTTTTGAAATGTTAAGGTGTCTTAGTTGTGTTTCATGTGAAAACATTTTGATTAAATCATCATCCGAACTTTTACTATTCGCTATTTTTATATCAGTACATTTTAAGCTACAAAGCAGATTTGGGTCAGGCATTTAGTGTCTTGAACTATGATATAAATGCACTTAAAGCTGTTAGTGAGAGGTTTCTTTTCAGTTAGTTTAGCAAGAATTTGTTTTTACATTCTATGAGTTAGTTTCATAACTATGATGGCATTTTTTTAAATTACATTTTTAAATAAATGTAATTAATAGTTATTAAAATACATATTATTATACCATAGTTTAGAATATCTGTATAATGCATTTCAGTCTAATATACACTGCAAAAAAAATGCTTCTCTTACTTGTTACTTTTGTCTTGGTTCTAGTTAGAATATCTACAAAAATAAAATTTAGTCATTTAAAACGAGAAACATTTTCTAGACAAGTAAAAAAAAATCTTGGTTCTAATTAAAATATTTACAAAAATAAAATAAAATAATCGAATAGCATTTTCTAGAGAAGTAAAAAAAATTATTCTTGTTGTTTTTTAGAAATAATAAATCCTTAAAACAAGAACGCAATCTGCCAAGTAAAATAATCTTGTTTTAGGTTAAAAATAACTCCATTGGCAAATTATTTTTGCTCATAATTTTGGCTTTTTTGAAAACATTATTTTTACCTGAGTTGTCTAAAAACACTTGGTTTGAAAATTTTCAGGAATAATAACAAGACAAGAATAATTTTGTTTTGCAGTATAATGTTTAATGACATTTTTTGAAAAACACAAACATCTAAGAGCAGCTCTTCTGCCAGCCATTCTTGCATTCATTTGTCAAAGTCTTTTGAAGCTTTTAAATTAATAAAGTTCATTACGATGACAGAAAAAGAATTAAATGAAACTTACTTCTGTAATCAACGTTGTGGACTATGTAGAGGTCAAAATGTACATTGTTTAATGTTTTTACAACAGAATATTTTATAAGTTAAATTAAGTTTTACTAATGTTTCATGTGAAAACATTTTGATTAAATCATTAGCTGACCTTTTACTATTTGCATTTTTTTTAGTACATTTTAAGCTACAAAGCAAATTTAAGTCTGCCATATAGTGTCTTGAGCTATAAATTAAATGCACTAAAAGCTGTTAGTGAGGGGTTTCTTTTCAATTAGTTTAGCAAAAAATATTTTTAAATTCTATGAGCTAGTTTTATAACTATAATGGCATTTTTACTTAATTCCATACAGTTATTAAAATACATATTGTTATACCATAGTTTACGCTGTAAGAAAATTCCAGATTTTCACAATATGTTTCTGTAATTTTTCACAGTTAATTACATTAGTATCACTTTACAAGACTTACCTGTAAATATTCACAGTAATATGTTGTATTCAGCATTTTATTGTGAACAATTAAATTACTATAACAGCAAATTACTATAAAATGGGCTATATCTCTTGCATGTTAGTTATAGAAATTCAAACTTTTTTAAATTTTATTCAACATAGACAATAATACAAAATAACTTTTATGCTAATATTGGCACCTTTTTTGATCTTTAGAAATAACAGAATGTTATTGCAGCCCCAAAACATTTTGTTTACATATTTAAAAAAAAAAATCATTCTGTTTTGAAATAACATAAATGTCATAAATCTTCATTTTTGAGTGCACTGCACCTTTATTTAATTTTATACGGTTAACATGGAAATATGAAATAATTTTTAATGAACACAGCTTTGTGCTTAGCCAATAACGTAATAAACTGGAACAAAAGTAATTGATTCATAAAACCAAACACTGTTAAACACCCAAAATGATTTCAAAGTCAGGGTAAATGTCAGAATGACTAGCAGAGGAAAGCCTGCTTCACAGTAAAATATAGTTAATTCTACAAGATAATACTGTGAAATCACAGTAATAGACTTTTACTTAGTAAGATTATGCTATATGGCTGAGATTTCACAATAATTTAATGTAACAAACCTAACTCACGGTTATTTGATGTGAATTTACATACATTATTTTACAATTATTTTATTTACTATTATTATTTTACATTATTTTATTTTTTACCATGTAGAATATCTGTATAATGCATTTCAGTCCGTACACTGCAAAAATGCTTCTCTTGTTACTTTTGTCTTGGTTCCAGTTAAAATAATTACAAATATAAAATTAAATGAAGCATTTTCTAGACAAGTAAAAAAAAAATATTCTTGTTGTTTTCAGAAATACTAAATCCTTAAAACAAGAAAAAATAAAACCTGCAAAATGAAATAATCTTGTTTTAGGTTTAAAATAATTCAATTGGCAGATTATTTTTGCGGTTATTTATTTATTTATTTTTTTACATTTCTGAAAACAAAATTTTTATTTGTCTAAAAAACACTTCCTGATTTGAACATTTTAAGAGACTAGTAACAAGACAAGAATATATATATATATATATATATATATATATATATATATATATATATATATATATAATTTATTTGCAGTATAATGAATATTTTTTTAAAACATGAACATCTTAGAGCAGCTCTTCTGCCAGCCATTCTTGCATTCATTTGTCGAAGTCTCTTGAAGCTGTTACATGGATGAAGTTCATTATGATGACAAAAAATAATTAAATGTAACTTACTTCTGTTATCGACGTTGTGGACGATGTGGAGGTCATGTTCGACTGTGGTGCCGTGTGCAGAGGTCTCAGAGGCGGACAGAATGAGCAGCAGCAGGAATACAACCGTCCCCAAGTGCGAACCAATCAGGCACTTAGTCACGGGCTGAGTGAAGGCGGTGAGCAGCATGCTGAGTCTAACACAGGGCAATGCACGACACACAGCAGCTGCATGAAAACAAGAACAATATAGGCTGTATTTTATTCAGACATTAATATAATATAATATAATATAATATAATATAATATAATATAATATAATATAATATAATATAATATAATATAATATAATATAATATAATAGCAGATAATTTAGATTGCTTTAAGGAAAAACTTACTAAATTTTGACGATGTGTTTCTGAAAACAAAACAATATTTTCCACTTATCTAAAAAAAATTTGTTGATTTAAGAAAACGTAGATATTTGGACTAGAAACATTAAAAAAATTTAAATAAGAAAATGTTTTTTACATTTTAAGACCCATTAAAGTTGATTTAAAGGTAACATCATGTAGAAACTACCAATTTCAGACCAAAATCAGGTCCAATTTCTGATAAGAAATGACTTTTAGTAATCACCTTTGTTGATTAAATCTGTAAGACTTACATGTGTCTTTGGACGTGTGCTCTTCAGCAGCAGGTATTTTTGAGGTTGGAGTCTCTTCTTCAATCCAAGTAATTCAGGAATGTGAAGGTTTCCTGCTTATATATCACACTGAGACCGTCACAGAATGGATTAGATCACGTCAATCTCACAGGACAACCTTTCTATACACACACACACCTCCCACTTCTTCCTCTCCTCTTTTATCCACATCAGCATCCTCACTCCTTTGATCCCTTGACTTGGATCCATCACACTGAAAGAGTGACGAGATTGAGCTTGTCTATTTAGACACACCCTAAAGCACTTTGTCAGAGATTTTCTGACATACAGGCGCAGTTTATGAGGACCCTCCATTGGTGTATTGTATTATTATATCGCCTTATCCTCACCCTATCCCTAAACCCAACCCTAACAGGAAACCTGTGGCAAATTTCAATAGTATCTAACTGCAGACTTGTATATGCAAGCTGAGACATGCAGTCTCAGACACAATGCACTCAATGGAGCTAGTGATGTCACCGTGAGGGGTAGGGTTAGGGGCGGGGTTGGGTTGGGTGTGTGCATTACATCTGCAACAGGTCTGCATCCAGACCCTTCACTCAAATTTATGTGAAGATTTTGAATACGAAAAGCTAGATTTTTAGCTATTTTGATATGCGAGGACACAGGACATGTCCTCATAAACCAGCTCAACATTGTAATATGTTGTATTTGACCTTGTAAACCACTAAAACCAGTACACATATGCAACTTATTTAACACGACGGCGACCATTTAAGACAGTTGATGTTGTCCATCTACAAGAATGTGACAGAGACTGCATAATGAGCCCTTAGAGCTGGAAAACTAGCAATTTCTAACTACAGCTGATCAAATTATTATTAAACAGGCAAGTGACATTTTAAGTAGATCTCTCTCCTTTGTATCTTGTAGTGCTGTATTTTTAAACCATATAATAAGTGCTTAATTTGTGAACTGCAAAGTTCCGGAACAGATCAGGGTAACGGATCCGACATGTTTCCCGAGGATGGAGAGGTGTCATGCACGAAAGTGAAGAGGGTTGGGAAGAAAGTAAAAGTGAAAAGCGGACGGGGAAGGAAGGCGGTTGAGGAGGGGGATCAGTAAAATGAGGTGCCGAATCAGATTTCAGCAGTGCCGTATTCAGATCTAACATGTTCCAGCACAAATTAAGCCCTGCATATAATTGTAGTGTATTGAGGGTGACATGGGACTCACATATCATGATTGTATGTATTTTGTGTTGGGCACTCCTTATATAACCCTGAGGTACTTTTTGGTTGGCCATTTATTTGTTTCTTATGAGTCTCCTGTTTTAGTTATTGCATACTGATTCAGTAAAAAGAAAGAAAGAAAAAATGTGTGCATGTGTTTATTGTTTTTCCTTATCGCAACCACAACAGCAATCTGGTGGTGTTTGCACTGCTTTGCTTTTTCAGGATTAATTGTTGTGATATCCCAACTGCAACAGAGAAATACTAATGTCTAGACAGATGGCAGTTCATGTCATTCAACGTTATAATGTTAAAATGTCAGCAAAATGTCCATTTTGTAATCACTTTAAATATTGCGCTAGAGAATCATTCAAATATAGCTCCAAAGTGACATTGGTGAACAGTTTCTGCTGTTCAGACGTCAGCTGCAGCTGTGAAGAAATGGCGGAAGAAAGTAGTTCCTCATAAAAATTATTTTTGCACTCTCCATGTTTGATTTGCTTTTTCATATACACGATTATCCCATCGAACTGTTGTATAAACGCAATATCACACTCATAGCCATGGGATTGGGCTGTATATCAGCACTGGTGGGACATTAGGAACACAATAAACGGCCACATCGCATTGCTACTCGTGTAATAAACGTGTCTGTTACACACACACACACACACGCGCAAAGACACATGTTTTATCACAACCAAATCAAATAAAATCATGTTAAATAATGTTATACAATGACAGTTATATAAGATTAAATTAATTGTTAAATAAATGTTAAATAAAGTACAGGAATATAAAATAAGGATTTATCAATTATCAGTATCCATGAAGTCCCAGTGGCTTCTAGAATCAGCCAGTAGTGAGCATCTGGTGTAGATCTGATGATGTGGAAGAGATAACAACCCCAGCCAAAGCAGAAGCGTACTGTATAAGGTCTAAATCCATCAGCATTTATTACTATCCATAATGATATTACAAATATGAGATGTTCCCATTCCAAACAGATGCAGCACATCCAATAAGATGCAAAAGATGAGATGGTGAGATGTTCAGGCTTTGCTGTTGTTCCAATAATCTGTCATTAAGATTGTGTGTGTGTGTGCGTGTGTGTTTGCCTGTGCATGTGTGAGTGTGCATGTGCGTGTGCGTGTGCATGCATGTATGTTATGCTGGTATGCTATGTTGTATATGAGGGCATTTGGTTGACAAAAAAAGCTGTCAGATACTAAAAATGTTATCAATGATTAATTAATTAAAAAACTCAAACTGTAAATTAATAATTTAATAGAGATTTTTGTTGTTTGAATCTATAAATTGCATACAAATACATATAGAAACAAATCATTACAATAACAGAAAATAATATACATAAACAACACAGTATATTGTTTCTAACTACAAAAATTATGAAGATTTGTCAACATTAAAGAAAACATTGATGAATCACAAACTGCATAACTGTTAATCAACAGAATTAATGCATTTAAAAATATTGCACATTTGCACACAAAAATAATGCACATTTAAGGTTTGATTTTTTTTTTTTTGTCCCAGGCCAGCCCTGAACCATTTACAACGGCAACATATTTCATTCAGTTTGGTAACTTTCTGTTCTTTTGCCATCCATACAGACACATTGTTTGACAATCGTGCTAACTATAAGTGTTTTAATCACATACTTTATTGACTTTTCTGTAATATTTTGGTTCATTTATTTATTTAAATATCAGTTTAAAAAGCATGGTGATGCTTTAAAAAAAGGAAGGGTTAGATTTCTAAAATACAAATTGACGACAATTAACAGTTAGTTAGTTAGTTAGTTAGTTAGTTAGTTAGTTAGTTAGTTAGTTAGTTAGTTAGTTAGTTAGTTTCAACATTTACAAATACAGATTTACAATTATAATTTGTATCTTAATGAATGCACTCTGAACTAACGTTAAAATCACAAACAAGAAAAATTTAGTCAGTAATACAAATTTAATTATCAATTAAATGATTCAATAATAACTACAATTATCTGCCTATTATTACAATATTGGCAGTTTATTTGTACTCAAAAAGAACAAATTTAGCATGATCTTATCCCAGCAGACAAACATCATAAGACAATAATGTTAGGTTATATTTAGGTCGCCGGTGTCTAAGGACAATGTTATTTTGACATCCAATAACAACGTGACAAGTCGTTGATATTTGGTTGATTTTAGGTTGTGTTGGAAGGTGACCAAAATACAACCTTGAGCCAACATCTTAATCCAGTGTCATATTGATATCAAGTACTGACGTTTATTTATGAAGTATGGCAACCAAAATCCAACATCTAATAGACTTCTAATAGAACATTGGTAATGTTCACGTCAAGCTGTAACATCATTAGATGTTGATATTTTGTTGGTTTTAGGTTGCACTGGAAAGTAACCAAAATGCAACGTCTGTTCAACATCGTACATTGATGTCAATACAATTTTCATTTTCAAACAAAATCCAACATCCCACTATGTTGTGGTACAACGTTAATCTGACATCATAATGACATCCTGTGCCTGCTGGGATGCTCCATCCCTAATCCTGCCCAATACCACTACTATTTTAATAACTTTTTACCTCTTAACTGTGACTGGGACACTTAAGTTTAGTAGTTGTTTTTCTTCACAGATAAGATTTCTTCAATTTGGTCTGGAATTGTTAGCTATGATATTGTTTTTCGTGAACCGGATGTGTTTCTATACTGCACTTGTTATTTTCACACTTGTTTCTCTTGTGTGTCTGACTGATACAGTAGGCCGGATAAAACTTAACAGCTGTCCATTGAATATTTTCCCAGGTTTTTTAAGCTAGCCTTTGAGATTATTGTGCCTATAGTATTTTGTCCATTGTTAATAGGAGTCTTGTTTCTGGAGTGATGCCTTCATAATTGAAACATGCCATAGTGCAGCCTCTTCTGAAAAAGGCAAATTTAGATAAATCTGTGCTGTCCAATTTTAGACCTATTTCAAAACTACTATTTTTATCTACGATCTTGGAGAAAACTGTTTTAACACCACTACATAGCTTTCCGGAGGTTAAGGGTGTTCATTAAGTTTTTCAATCTGGTTTTAAGGCATGTCATAGTACTGAGTCTGCACTGCTACATGTGATAAATGAAATTTTGTTGTTTAGGTACTCGGGCACTCTATGATCCTCATGCTTTTTGACTTTACTTTTTGACACTATAGATCTTTATTTCCTGTCTTGACAAATTGGTGGGGTTCCAGGGTTCTGCTCTTAAATGGTTTTGATCTTATTTGTTGTTCAGACCTTTTCATCCTCCAGACCCCTGACATGTGGCATTCCACAAGGGTCTATCCTTGAACCTATTTTATTTTATTTTTATTTTATTCATATATTTTACCTTTAGGATCTATTTTTGGTAAATGTGGGGTGGCTTTTAATTTTTATGCTGTCGAAATTAAGATTTATGTCTCTCTCAAAAATAACAATAAAAATGGCCTTGACCTTACTCCCTTACTAAATGTTTAATTAAGGTTAAGACCTGGCTGTCGTCAATTTTTTATTTTTATTTTTTTCAATGAGAAAAAAACTTAGCTGGTCTGGTTTGGGCATCCTGTCCCTCTGAAATTATTAGGTTTTGGTGAGCTATTAACTTATCAAAAACCTGTTGTTAGGTACCTAGGGTTTCAGTTTAATAGTGATCTGAAATTTAAAAAACAAGTCAATTTTGTTGTTAAATCCAGTTTCTTTCCATTTAAGTAATTTCTCTCTTTTAATGACCTTGAGAAGGTGATTCATACTTTTATTTTGGGAAGACTTGACTATTGCAACTCTTTGTATGTACATTGTAAAACCCAAAAGGTTAAGGTAACTCAAACTGTTTAAGG